ATTAGAGACGGAACATTTTGGGTTAGGTTACAAGTGTGATCATATAATTAGTGATGTTTTTGAAGAAGAAATGCTAGGATGAATAATAGCTGCATAGTATTTAAATGGGTCAATTGGCACAAGATTGGGGCACCACCATCATTTAACTTCTAATGTACACATTTTCGTCACTTTTTTCAGAGTTCTATGTTTCTTTAGTTCACGCAAAAATGTTACTTTACAGTGTAAATGAAAGCGTAACTTTAGTAAATTCCTGAATCACCTCATCATCGATTGGCTAGTGAAGTTGATTTGATCAATATGCTGGTGTCTGCTTTGAGATTGGCCGCTGGTAATTGCGAAGTCGTTTGCAAGTTGTCGGTTCTAAGGTCCTTTTTTGTATAATGACGTATTTATTTATCGCCCATTGGTAGGGCTGTTTCGGGTATTTTAGGGTCATAAATATTTTTATAATAGGGTAAAATGGTTTCTTTTTCATTAGTGGGCATATCATCCCGCTTCTGCATCCCTGCTTTTTTCCTTAGTATTTTTGATAATGATGTTTCATTAATTGTTGACAACCTAAGAACCCTTTAATTTGGCAATGCTGTTTCTTTTTTAACGATTCTGAGCTATTTTTAAAGTAATTTTGTGTTTCTCATGTAATTTGACGATAATTTGCACCATTCTTAGTTTCCCGTTCACATTTAATGCACCTCGGCTGTGCGTCCAATTAAATCAAAATATCTTGGCTTTGTATGTTGTCAATTCAGTTTTTCTGTTTCCCTTTGAAGTTTGCGTATGGTTTAATTTCCCAAATATTGTATGGGTTTTGCATATTTAAGCCTATAAAAATAGTTTTTTTATTTACCTTAGTACCATGAGTCTTTTTGTGACTCCATCGCCCGTGGTCAAGCGACTCATTAGTTACATCAAGGAAGGTTCTGACAAGGAGGAGAAATGGAAAGAGAAGGCTGTTAAGTCTCTGGTAAAACGGTTGAAAAAGGGGAACCAGTTGGATGAACTGGAACGAGCCATTGTCAATCAGGACAGCTCAACCCGATGTGTTACAATCCCTCGTTCTCTCGATGGTCGTCTTCAAGTGAGCCCTATTTTATGCTGCCGAGTATATTGCTTTTATGTGTCGCTTAACTTGTTGCGTTTTGTGTTTACGCTTTGTCACCTCTAAATCTCAAATCCGACAAATCGGAAATGCAGACTCTGAATCTGGATGTATACACCAATAATTCAAAACCCAAACCGGTTATTTTCTTACCTTAAACTTGGAGCACAACTGAAATATGGTCATGGCTCTTCTCTTGGTTGAGTCTACGTTATGTTGAAGCCATAATATTGGTAACTCGTTGTATCACCGAAGTGGTTATGTGCCTTTTTTCGCATGGCCTTCTTTACAACCTAAAATTTGATAGGTAATTTATGCTTAAATGCAAACAAAAACCATCTTGCTCTAACATTCTGTTCAAACGATCTTCTTAAATAGACATTGTAATAGTGAGCAGAAGTAATACTGGTATCCTTTGGCTTCAGTATTTTTAGTCTGAAGACATTTGTTGTCTCCTGCTAAATGACTTTTCGTAAGTCGTATTAGTCGGCCTCATTAAGGTGCGAAAGCCAATATTTTTGCTTTCAGTCTACCTCATTATTCGTACTCATGAGTATTCTTATCCGATCAAGGAGCTGATCGATTTAACTGTGAATTTTGAGCTAGTAGTATTGCTTACTATGACTCACTTAATGCTCGTCTCTTCGTTGTAATACTTTTGCAGCACTTCACGTTGCCCTCTGAGTGCTACCCACACGTTAAAGTGCACTTCAATTCAGCACGACTTTTCTGTGTTGAGTTCGTGATTAAGTTAACTCAAGCTCGTTAACTCTTAAATGAAAACAAAGTACCTTGTCAATTTAATGTGGTATTGATGCTTTGATGCAGTTTACACTTTCCCCTGTTCCATGGTGAAATCGCTTCCTGTCCTTGCAGGTTGCACAAAAGAAAGGCCTACCACACGTATTCTATTGCCAGCTTTGGCGTTGGCCAGATCTTCACACGCAGCACGAATTGCGACCAGTCGAAAATTGCCAGTACTCATTTCAAGCCAAGCGGGACGAAGTTTGCATTAATCCCTATCACTATCGCCGAATAGAAAATCCAAGTGAGTTGGTGTTGCCTGCGCGTCCTCGTCAAGGCACATTCTCTGAGGTGTTTAGGCGATGGTTTTGCAATCAACTCTGTAGCCAGCTTTTGCATTAGTGTCAATGAGCGAACCAAGAGAGACAAATATTAACTTTACTGACGTTGTAACCACCTTTCTCATTTCTGACGTGGCCAAACCATTGGGGCCTTGTTTCTCGCATCTTTTAATTCAGCTAGTTCACGACCATTTAACTTATTTGTGACCGGAAACTGCCTGATTTGATTTTTGTGTTGGTGGAGACTTGTCCTTGATGTTTTTAGTCGGTTTCATAAATGCAGTTTCATTTACCAAATTGGAAATCTGCCTCCGTTAGAGTTCCCATCCTCCGCTTCCTAATTTACAGAGCCACTTGGTGCGGTGCCTTCTGGCATGCCTTGTGTGTTCTCCACGTCCGAAACCCTAGACACACACCTTTCTCGTCTAGCCATTGTTCTAGCACCAATGTTGCCCAATGCAAGTGACTCATTGCACACACATGCGTGCATGTCTGACTGACTAGACGCTAACACTTGCGCACGCGTCGTTATAGCCTCTCTACGTTCGGAAGTGTTTCTGTCTCCGGCTGATCAAGTCACCTACTGACGCCTGTTTGGAGTCCCGGGTGTCAGTGCCGGTTCTCACGTCACCGAAGAGCCCTCATAACGTCGCTAATGTGTCAAATTACAGTGCTAATTGGGATCAATTCGTTCCCAAACTTTTGGTCTTGGTCCATTAGGGCTACAAATTCTGAAGTTCAAGGCTTTAAGCGGGTTTTTTAAACAGTTCGCTGGCTACTTGGACAGGTTTTTTTTATTATCACGTAAGGCTCAGCAGCGGTTATAAACTCGGATCTACCAGCCAAGTGTTATTTCCAGCACGTAGTCAAAAGCTGGTCCCATCAGCCTAAAATGATCCACGTGGCACTCTCGGTGGTCGCAACGGCTGCCCTAAAATTGCCCAGCAAGTCTAGTTGATTGTATTTTGAGTTCGCAACACAATGACGTGACCGTGCATGTGTGTGACTGTGAATTTAGTTATTCACATTCCGCTGGGTGGTCTCCAAAAACGTTTTTTTCTGCATAGGCATTTGGTGGTGTTTAGTACTGTTGGTTTGGTCCATGCATCATCCATCTGGGTGTAGAGGTTCTCCATTTTTAAAAAAGGCCGTCCTATAACTGGGACGCCCATTTCGGTCCTGCTATCTTTTTAATTCACTGCAGGCAGAATCAACCTAATTTTCTACGTGGCATAAATGGTTCGTTAGGTCCCAGAATCGTGCCTCATCCGACCACTCGGGCAGCATATTAAGTAACTTGTTCGAGTAATAACAATGCCCCACATTCATTTATGAAATTTGGATTTCTTTTTTAAGGGGGTACAAACCACATTCCCAACCTTGATCTTGGGGTGGCCTGCAGTAAGCTTAGAGAATTTTATCATGAATGTAATCTCGAAAGGCGACTTGATCTGCACGTCAATTTCATGCTAATGTTCACGATTTCTGAAGAAAAATGAACACTCAGTTTGTGGCGAAGTGACGGATATTCGTGCCTACGACACCAGTGATTCCAGGACATTTACCTTTTCGATTTTGTGCTGGCATTGTGATTCCTTGATATATTTTGGTTGCCAAAGGTTCCTAGTGACATCTCACGAATTGAACCAATTTAGGAAGCTAAGTTTCGTACTTATGTCGATGGTTTTGACGTCAATAGTTCTCTGTTTTCTCTTGTGCGTTAGATTGCTGTCTATGGTCGACTTATCACATTTGCAATACTCAGTACTTAGAATTTTTGGGCTCGCAGCACTGCAAATTTGTGTACTTTATCCCTCGTGAATCGGGCGAAATGTTTCCTTCGGTCTTAAGTCTGGTTGTCTGAAAAAGGAAAGAAGCGACACGTATGTCGGAAAAGCAGACGCCTTTTTCATCTCACTTCAGACGTCACTGATGCTTGGTTGGTCTAGAAAAGGTCACATTGGGTGTGGGCATGCCCGTGCGAGGCGAGGTGTCGCCTATACCCCCGCCCCCCCCCCACCACCACTCTGATGCCTTTGAACTGGGTTATGTTTCAAATAGCTCTCTCTTGAAAAGGGCTATTGGGGAAGTCGCAGGTTAATAAAGTTATTTCACAATTGCGTCCACAGTAATTCGGCTTTGTCTGTTTGGACCATGTTAAAGCTTAATTTCCTGCATGTTGATAAAGGAATAGTCACCAATATATCATGTTATGATTGCCCTCTCGCTCCCATCTTTACGTCATGTATTGAATTTTGCCTCATTGATGTTTTAGGTTTGCAGTGGGTACTTGACTAAACTTGGAAGATAGCTTCCAAACCAACAGTTGGATTGGGAAGTGCTTCATGCACGAGGTCGTTTGTGTGTTTGTGCCTGTTGACACATGTCTAGGACCAACCAAAAACACTCAACGGGAGCACGCGGAACTTGAGGGGGATTATTGGTTTGCGTGTTTGTCAGCGTCACTAAAACTCAACAAACATTATAGACATGTGGACAAGTCTCCACTAGGTTTCGACTACAATTGGCTGCTGGCCCGAATACGGTTGGTTGTTACTATTGCAGGTGGCAGTCGGACCGTTTTTATAAAACGTGCCATCATCTATTAGCGTTGATCTGCACACATAAACATTACTAGGCTTGGCTTGCGTGCACCTGTCTAATCAAGTGTAACATGTTAAAGTGCACGGACAATTGTGGTTACAAAATTGTGGCAGGGCTTTATCGGAATACGTTCATCGAAAACTGACCCATTGCAGTTGCGCAGTGAATCCGTATGCTGCCACCACTTGCGTCCATAAATACGTTGTTGTGTCTTATCCAATGTAATGCACAGCTCCGTTGCGTGTTTTCGAGTCTTCGATTCGTGTCACAACAAGGGTCCAGGGTGACTTAAATTCTGCTTACTAATGACCGTGGTGTGGAGCCGCATGGTTACGGACAACAAAATTCATGGCCTTTTCCCCGAAAGAATTTGTTCAGTAGAAATCAAATTCTCAAGATGTTTGCTGTCACGCTGCGGCAACAAAGTAATGCAACTGAACTATGCACATTTTGTTGTCGCATTTTTCCCAAAACCTACATTTTTAACGAAGCTAGTTGCCTATATGGTCAGTTTTAGCTGTAGTTTTCCTATCTAGTATTTAATCTCGTAATTTACACATGGCTACCCTTTGCCATGGGGTAAGATTAATCCTCAGTTTATTATTTGGTCGTACATATTGTTAAGTACATTAACAGTCTTCCTAAGCCAGACAGAAAAAAATTTCGGTAGAGATTTGTTACCAGGTTCGTCCTATTGAAATAGCATAAACTTTAGTACCTTCGTTGTGTCTATATAATCGTCAGTCCAAACTTTACTGGAAAATGATTACCCGAAATTCCACTATTGCATTTCGGTAGTTATTCCCCCGATCATGGTGCCTCGCGCCCCACACCCGGCATCTCAAGCAGGCATGAACGGTGCCGACGGTATGGGCTCCTACGGTCATCATCACCATCATGCCTACCGCTCTGGCATGTCCCAACGTCTTGGAGGTGGTGGTGGTGGCGGTGGTGTTCCACGTCACAACATGATGGACTTTTCAAGTGGCAGCGCGGGCTACAGGGGTGGCGCTCCGACCCAGGCCACCATGATGCCTCCTCCCCCACCGGCGTCCCAGCAACCCTACGGTGACGCACCGAGCTCCTCACATCACCTAACCAGTCTCACTGCACTACTCAATTCTTCCACTGCTGCCGGGGGCGCCAGGTTTGAGGAAGAAATGGACACTTCTGGAACCCTATTAGGTACCAGCACCAGTGCAGCACCCCCCTGTGTCACTCTTGATGAGGTACGTCCCGAGGCGGTGCTCACCTCGTCGCGCAGTTACTCTAGGTCTTAGTTATTGCACAAATTAATGCTTAAATTTGCACTTTTTTGTTTACTTCCCTCTGGTATTTAGCCGACGATCCAGGTATCATTTGTCACGTGAATTTAATCTAACCGCTCCGGTGCGTAGTTTTTAGCCATCTACTCGAACCTTTCGTAAATTCACGCGCACTCATCGCTCTAATCTCCACCTTTTAGCGGTCTTTATGATAACGGTGTTTACGAGGCGCATCGTCGCCACGCTCTCTTATGCTATTTTCGTCATAACCCTTCCAACGCCCAGTTTGATCGACTAGTCTATAGGTGTTTTCTGGCGCATTCAAGCTGTTTTCTTTTTGAAATGCCTAGGACCGATACAACTGGTGCCAATACAGAGGTCTTAGGTGTGTTTAGTCGGCTTGTCTTGTTTGCCATCTGCTCGTTATGTTTAGGGCTGCTCCTTTCCGCTCAATCGGTGAGGCTTTTGCCTGGTATCCAATAAACACTTTGACCTTCATGTGAAACAATGCCAATTAGTCATTAATTTTTCCGTCAGTCAGCAGTTCCATCTATTGAATGCGGATTTGTAAACAAAGATACCAGAGGTCGTGGTTGAAAAACACTGTGTAGACGCTTTCATGCCTGATTCGATTCTAGTTTGAGCAGTGCGCAACCATGTTAAAGCCGTCTAACAACCACACGCCTACTTTGTTCATCGAAGAGGGTTGTTGCCTTCACTGGGTCGGATTTTAAGTGGCTAGCATATGCTTTTTTTACGCTTGTGACTAACAATTCAATTTTGCAGTTTTAAAATATGCATAATCTTTTATCTTCTACAACTTACACAGTAGTAATTTAATCAGTCCTACTGTGTCACGTTCTGACGTTTTATCCTATCTTGCTTTGTATGTCAGAATGCTGATCGCGAGATCCTCGGTGGAACGCCCCATGTAGTATTCTCAACTCCTCTAACCTCGTCTGCCATGGGTGCCGGGATGGGGCCACTTTACCGTATGGCTGGCGACGACACGAGCGCCCGCAGTAGCAGTCCCCACACAGGATCAATGCTCAGGTTAGTTAAGAAGCGCGCAGATTCTCGAATTCCCACGGGTTAATCTGTCACACTGGGTCGATGCGTTGTGAATAGCTCGGGACTTCCACGGGCTCTTCGTGTTCAAATTAGCGAATAATACCTTTGATCCATGTTAAGCAGCCACCAACCAACTGTGGGTTTATCAAGTTTCATGATTTTTAGTACTTACTGAATCATATTACCATCTTTTTGCTTCTCCGCTTGCTAATAAAATAACAATCAATGCGTTATTTTGTGTACTCTGTTGGAGCGTACTTTGCCTTGGTAGTTAAGGGAGGGGCAGGAAACAGGAAAACAAGAACGAAGCGGTAATTGTCCGCTTTCTTAAAAGTGCGCACTGAATAGTCGACGTGATTGAGAATAACACCAAAGGAGCTGTCATTAAGTGTTTGAGCTATCTGGTGACACTATAACTGCCCTCTTCGGTAACCGTTATTTTTTCTGCATTTCGCCTTTGCTCATTGTCGCGTTGTTGTCAGCGCCCTGTGCTAGGATACATCTGTCCTAGATCCTTGCTTGGGTGAAGGTTTCTTATGCTGTGGTTATACCGACGTTATGCTTCCATGCTCTAGCTACCTATCCCATGGGCTGAAGAGCAGTATGGCATTGAAGTCTTCACCACCCTCAAGCCCCACAAATGGACCCAAGCTTGACGATAGAGGGGAGGCCTCCAGAATCGGCACAACAGACGCCTCAGCTAACACTGCGCCCGCAAACAGTGGTGCGGGGGGTGGTGATGCTGCGGGTTCCGTGATCAGTTCCTCCGGGGGACTAGATTCGTGTTCTCCAGGGGGTCTGTCTCGAGAAGAGAATTGCATGAGTGAGGACAACGATACCATGGATGCTGGTTTGGGTAATGCCTTTCAGTTTGAACCATTTCACTACTCATAATAGCAGCATCTTGAGAAAAAAATACACTTAGACAAGGTATTTACAAACCTGCTACCGTGTTTGCACCGCCTCGTCAGTAATGAGGACAAGTGGTAAAAGGACATACCTAAAGAAACACCTAAAGACATCACTCTATGCGTCTAAACATCCCGTAAATTTGTGGATTACGGCATCTTGCAAGTAATTAACGTGAAAGTATGAATATTTAATAGTAAACTGAAATATAGATCTAGATTCAGTAAACACGAGAATGGCGTATTGGATTTCTGTGGCTAAGTTTTTTTCCAGCAGAAGTCGTGGTTTAGATTTGACGAAACGTGCTTCAGTTTGGCCATGGCAGCGGACTCATTTTGCTGTTCTCCTTTTTTTTGTACAGAAAACCTAAACGACATCACGATAGATGAAAACGAGCTCACCTCGGTCGCCTATCAGGAACCAGACTACTGGTGCTCTGTTTATTACTATGAAACCAACACCCGAGTTGGTGACACATTTTACTGCGCCTCGCCGTGTCTCACTGTCGATGGATTCACAGATCCCTCGCGAGAAAATCGTTTCTGTCTTGGTCTTCTCAGTAATGTAAATCGTGGCCATCAGATTGAACTAACTCGGAGACACATTGGTAAGTGTACCCGCTATCTTCCCCCTCCCCTTTTAGGCCCTCCTCGTCTGTTAGCAGTTACAAGTAATGCCATTCACCTCGAGTGTTCTGAAACCTCACCCGGTCACTAATCCCGCTTTCCTAGCTGCCTGTCAACAACCGTTGCCTCATGTTTATGTTTATTGTCACACAACTGAATCCACACTTAACCTTTTAATGTGACATTTTAACCGAACACTGAATGCCAAATCGGGCACTGCAATTACACAGGGAGATTGTGCGAAAGGCACTTTTCTCGGTTCATTGTGAATGTGAAATTTGCGCGAGCTTTTTCCCATGGAAAAGCATCAGCATTTTTGTTAATTGGGTCGCTAAAATAACCTTTGAAGTGTAGTCAGTGGAAATGTTTAGTTCTAGTCCTAGTGCATGCGTAATTGGCTATTACGATTATAGGGCCCTAGGTTCCTCCTCCTCCTCCTCCTGTCTGACGGTGTATTTCTTGTAGAATGCTACTTTTGAGTGCACTAATGTTGATAATCAAGTGCAAGTACTTGAAAATAGTCGTCGAAATGTTGCATTTCGCATGTTGTAAATTACGTGTGACTAGCAGAGTACAAGGTACCGGTGGCCTTCTTTGAAGCAACGTGTGCACCCTTGAACTACGCGAGGTTCACTAAGGATATCTCAAATTATTAAGCATCTCCTATTCACCGTTGGCGATCGCATATGAGGACGCGCGGGTCGCGCAACCTTAAAGTACATTTGGAACGGCGTAAAGATGCAGTGTGTGTGTGTGTGCATGCCCCTAGGGCTTCTCCACATTAACCTTAAAGAAACGGCAATTCTGCTGTTCATTGTGTCAAATTGCCTTGAAATAGGCAGCTGGTTGTATCAGATGCTTCTAAGTGTGTGGGTGCCCCTTAGGCTCCTGTGGACACTACCATCATGATCGTGGCATTTCACACAACTTTGCCGTGTGATGCGATTCGAATCAGCAGACTCATTAGCACGCCTCTGTAATAGTCGATTGCGCGTGGCAAGCGTGTGGCGTCGCTAATTTCTGAAGAGCATATTTTTGTATTTAACTTCAGGTCACGGTGTTGCCCTCTATTACATTGGTGGCGAGGTGTTTGCGGAGTGTCTGAGTGACAGCGCCATTTTTGTCCAGTCTCCCAACTGCAACCACATGTACAACTGGCATCCAGCAACAGTCTGTAAAATCCCACCAGGTCAGTTCCACATTCCTATACATATCATGCTCTGGTTATTATCCAGGTTTTTTTGTAGTTAACGTGCTCGTCCAATATCGGGGAGACAGTGCCGCAAAGTAGGCTTCACACGCCAGTAGGGCATGATTTGGCACAAGGCTCTCGTAAATGACCACGCTTATCGGTTTCAACCGGTCTTATTTACTCGGGTCAAACGATTTCGGCACTTGGATCGATTTCTGAACAGCTGCCCTCTTGAGCTCATAAGCCTTTGGTACCGAAAACATCTTTCCCATTATTTTAACATAAACTAATAGCGTCCATCTAAATTCCATAATAAGTTACCGGTTTTGAATGTATGAATATGAGGCAACAATAGCCCAAATGGCTGCCCCGGCATTAAATCCTGAATGAACGAGTAGAATTTCATAAACTAACAAGTTAGCTAACAAATTAAACCTAACCCCCCCTATCTTTGAAGCAGGTGATTAGTGAAGGCACTTGCTGGTCTTTTCTGATTTTAAGTGCGTTCACTCGTGCCAGTTTTGCTCGTTACGTTAAGGGCTGCTCCTTTTTGCTCATTCGGCGAAGTTTTTGCCTGCTTTCCAGCGAACATTGCGACCTTTATGTGACGCAATGCCAAATAGTCCAATTTAACAAAAAATGCAGATCTTTTGTCCAAATCGTAGTTCATCGTGAATTGTAGGTTGCAATTTGAAGATTTTCAACAACCAGCACTTCGCATCGCTGCTCAAGGAAAGCGTCAACAATGGCTTCGAGGCGGTCTACGCACTGACCAACATGTGCACTATCCGAATCAGTTTCGTAAAGGGCTGGGGTGCCGAGTATAGGTAAGAAAACGCTACGTACTAAACTCGTGCACCCTTTTTTGTTGCATCTAGCCCTTATCGCATTGCCTTCCTTGTGACGAATCCCTGGAAGTTCAAGTTATGCCACGAGATTACCTGAGAGTTAGTGCCAAGTACGTTGGTGGTGGCAGCCGGACCCACCCATTGAGACGAATCCGCTATTGGATGGTGTCATTTCAGCTTACAATTTTGTTTCGTCAAGTTTCCCTCAAACGCGGCTAATGACAGGAGGCCGTGGCTTCAGTGATCGAAGGCTATGACTGAGTGCACGTTGTGGGCAGAGCGGTGGCCGCGGGTGCCTGTGGTAAATGGCGGCATCACGTGGTCCACACACTAAAAGTGAGTCAGCGGCGCCGTGGCCCGAGCACCGCCCGCTCACCCGGCTTTTATGGACGCCTCGCAATGCAGTGCTAGTTAGGAGTTCTTTCCAACACAGAAGAGCGGTCCGATTACGTTGAGTTCACCCTGACCAACTAACCGCCGAACGCTGCGGAAGCGTTCCTTTGCAGTATAACATGCTGCCAAAGATCGGCTTTCGGTTTAACAGCGTGAAATAGAGATCAACTTTTTAATAACAGAATTATGAATTTATGTTTTGTTCGATGGACTTTTGTTGTTGCTGTTGTTGTTGTTGTTTTGACATCCTTATGGTTCATGGACCTCACTTCCCTAGCAAGGTCCAATAATTTTCGTCGAGTTGCCAAATGCGTGTGAGGCCTAGTGATGCCTTGATAAAACACGATTTCTTTCCTATGTTTTTTTCTTAATTCTGATCTTTTTTCTCTGGTGGCGCTCTAATGCAGTTTCGTCCGGTGTTGACGGCAAACGCCCAGATTGATGTTTGGTTCCCTGGAAGCGGGTCAAAGTACACATCGCTTTTGTAACCACCCCAAACTGACAGCGTAGTCTTTTCGGCGTGGTTCGGCTTTCGATGTGGCTTGTGGTGTTAAATCACCCGTGGAACATGGTCGCTTTCGATTGATGGTTTTGTACAAGGTTCATTTTCCATCACCCCCGAGATGATTCATTGTAAAACACGGACGGTTGCATTGCGTTTGAGACTCGTATCGCAAATGCTTGTTTGTTGTGCTGAGTGTGGTTCTTTCTAGCCACGAAAACCCCAATAATTGGGCTTGTTAACGAGCCCAGGACACTTGAGGTGGTTTTCATCTGTCGTGAGTGGTGCAGCATATGACATCTCTGCAATCTCTTGCACGGTGACATGGCGATCCGAACCATACCCTGCTTGGCTTTGGTGTGTTGGCAGGAATTTCGGTCGTGTTTAAGTGGAAAAAAATTAATTTTGTCAACTAAACCTGGCAGTTGCGTTTTGTTGAACAGTCAATCCTGCTCCACCCTACAGCCCGTCCTAGTTTTCCACCCACATGCAACCTCAACCTCATGTGTGACGGTAAGAACTTTAGTCACGTCGCAGCGAAAAAAATCTCAAGAAGACAATGCTTTAAATTTATTTGACACGTGTGTTCTGTATACGTTGTTTTTGACGGAGACTAAACGTGAAATCTTCAAATATCGACAAAAATCAAGCATTTAAGTGAAGTTATTCAATACAAGGTGAACGCTACTTGTTATTAATAATCGGAATTGCTTTCTTGCTAGTTACTTCTGTACCCTTCTGAAAATACCAGGTAATGCGAATTATTAGTGAGGAGCATTGGGGACATTCTGGCTTCTCTGTTGTTACCCTTGTGCCTGTTTTTTAGACGTCAAACCGTGACAAGTACGCCGTGCTGGATTGAACTTCATTTGAATGGCCCTCTTCAGTGGTTGGATCGCGTTCTCAGTCAAATGGGCTCGCCGAATCATCCTTGCACCTCCGTGAGCTAATCGCCATCGTCGACTTCTGATCCCCTCTTCTTCACTAATGAGGTTTCGGAGATTTACTGCCCCCCCCTGTCCCAGCCATTCACTATGTAGCAGCTTGCGACTTCATCGCCACCCTCAACCTAACCCCCCCCCCACCGCCGCCGCCGCCAAATGCATTTTGCTCCCCTCGACCTTTATTCGTATTAGGTGATCCGCTTTTTACACCACCGCCACCAAAACTGCTTCCACATATCTCGTTTGGCAATCGTGCGTGTGAATCGGACCTCGTCCATCATTCATCGCTGCGCGCTCTAACTCCCAATCTCTTTATATGTATTCTTTAATGATTAATAAATGTTGATAATTTCCATAAAATGGGCTAATATTCAATGCAGCTGTGGCGACTGCAGCCGGATTAAGTGCCTATCTGTGTGGTCCCAACTTGACCCGTCGACCGCTACTGTAGCCGAGTTTGGGTCCCGGAGGCTCGTTCGTATCAGGCTGTCTGAAACTGCCAGCTGCGATCTTCCACTCACTTTTTGGTTGGTAGTTTAGGCGAAGCGTTTGGTCTATCTGTCGATTCTGATAATTTCGTAAAATTGACTTGTGCTAGAATTTGCCCAATACACTACCTTCGCCCGGAAGCCATCGATAAAGTGGGTCTGGTCACCCGTTTGTGCTTGCTTTCCAATCAAATCAGATTTTTCCTCCTCCCTATTTTCAAGCTTCGTACGGGTTTGAATCTTGCTAGGTCGTTAAGGCATAGTCATTTCTATCCCACCTTGCACCTCTGAACACACTAAGCTTTGAGTTGATCTGGTGTTTTAGCCAATGTTTCTCATCGACGGTTTTAAACACACTTTAGTTTCATACTCTTCGACATTAATTATGTTAAGGGGCTATCACCCTCAGGAAGCGTAGGAATAGGTTAATCCAGTGCGTCTTTCCGTCATTTCTGCGTTTTCCGATCTCACCCTAACAACTTCATTTGTCAAACACGAAATCCTGTTGTCAATCCCAGCTTATTTTACCAGTTTCACGCCAAGGCACTTGTGTTGTTTTTCCATGAATTAGACATCCAAAAGACTCAGCTGTCCCACACCTGTCCTGATGGGGGAGGGTGAGCGATAGCACCATGTGATCTTCTGGATTCCTATCCTCTTAAACCGTCTGTGTTGTTTCTTTGCACGCAATGCTTAGCCTAGTCGTTGCAGTTTTGCTTTCCTTCCCACATAATTCCTTACTCCGTCTTGTATCTAAAGCGATTGCAGAGGTGATTGTTGGTGTTGCTGTGTACAAGAGATGGATTGTTCCAGAATGCTTATTAATATAAATAGGATTTAGGTATTTTCGCGTCAGGTGTTTTATAATCGAGCACACTTGGTTTAATATTAGTCTGGATGAAGACTGTCCGCACCAATTAGATTAATCAAAGGGATAAATCCCACCTCCATTTGAGTTCCTATTTTTGAAGGACCCTCCTAATCCTGCCGTGTTTTATTATCGATATCATTCACTCAGTATGAGTAGCCTTTAAGTCGAATAACCATTACCGCACTCACGCGGTTCACTGTGCCTTGACGAATTGGAGACCCCAACGTGATCAGTGAAAGTGCCAGTACACCCCAATGCCCGCTTGAATAATCTTCAAGCTCTTGAGCACCTTCCAAATGAGGGACAAGAACTAAATTCATTCGACTGTGAAGGCATAATTAAAATCACTTGTTTGGTAAAGGATGATACCATGCGCTTTTGATAGGGGTACTAGATCGCATATTCGAGTTGAAAAGAATTACCGTTTAAATAGGCCAAATGACTGACGCACAACGTGGTACATGTTTTTATTTCCCTTATTATGCTACATAGTGGAGAATAAGTGCTGCAAAACAACGGGACAACTATCCGGGATATCTTAATAATAGGCTCGTTGCTATTGCCCCACAGACTGTTTGATATCTGCGGCATACAAACAAAGCAGAATTTTCTTTACCAACATGTTGATGTCGTACTCAGTGATGCATTTTGCGTAGGGTCACTAAATGGATTAGAATGTGCGTGTAATTGGATGGTTGATACTTCCTAATGGCAGCGGTGGCGCCAACACTAGACCACCGTGTCGAAACACTGATGGGAATCCATCAAATTCTCCACCGGCATGCACACTCCAGCTATTAAAATTAGGCTGATCACGCAATGGAATGGCTGCACAGGTAACCTCATGGAAATCATTCTAATGGCCCGGTGCCTAGTCTACGCTCATGTGCTTTTTATTTTATTACATGTAGATTACATTAAACGGACACCAAAAATGTGGACGAAGAACAAGGTGACCAAAAATCTGTTCGATGTTGATGGGTGGACTATAAATCAATCTGGTCCTTTCTGTTACGAGATAAAGACCCTCTAGTAGCAATTGAAGACCTCTTTCTGAGGGCATTACCACCTCCAAACTGTGTGGTTCTTCTGAAAGTTAGTTTTAATGCCGTTCCGCTGCTGTGGCGACGCAAACTTGGTCGCTGGTGAACGATGTGCTTGGTAGCGTAGCGGTATTTTGGGGAACAAATGAAGTTAAATCGGGTATCCGAATGGGATGTCGCATTGGTAGGATGTGATGTGCGGTTGCGGAGCTTGTGTTGGTAGACGTTGGACTTGAAGGTGCGGGACCATGGTGAGGGATTATTTCTTTGATTCTGGTTTCTGCTCTTCTCTGAACAGGGACTGCCATCATCGAAGTCGGAGTTTTCATCAGTTGAGTGGGATAGTCGGAGAGAAGTCGAACCATTCCCGTTGATACTCTTTTCGGCCTAAAAAAAATCATGGTAATTTGTAGAGCAACTGGTAGAGCGTTTTGACTAACAAGAATGAATTAAAAGGGCGTGTTTTGGAGCGCCTTGTTTGCCTTCAGGATTTGCACAACGGAGGTTTAGTTTCTGGTCTAACCTTACCTAGCTTTCGTAACAAATTTCTGCAGAGAAAACTTAATAAAACTATCGAAGCTCACATCCATGAAAAAGTGTTGATTAATCAGTCATAGTGTTCAAATTCCTGAATGGTCACAATTCTTAGCAATCAGAAGCACATGTTAGCATGATTAAATTATCACTTTTATCGATTACAAAACTAAGCATACGCAACATTTCTTCTAGCAAAGAATTGCCTAGAATCGCAGGGATTACAGAGCTTGGTTGCGTTCAGACAAAACTCATTGAAGCTTTCCACGAGGTTATTGATTTTTGGCTGCAATTTGTTTAATTGGGTGCACAGAATGTTTTTAATACCCAGTTTCAACTTCAACGCACTGATGTGGACAAAGCAGGACCCAATTAAAATCTAGTCTCCCAGTTGAAAAGATTGTGTATCAGGCCTTGATCGTGTAGGCAGCCTGAGAAGTCGCTATAATTGAAGGGGACCATTTCGCATCCAGATTAACAAGTTTTCGCCTCTTTGGAAGAACTTCTGTGCCCTAAGTTGTGGCCTGACCAACAAACTAGCCTGTTGCCCCAAAAATTTAATCTTGTGAATATACCTTCCAAGCCCGGATACCTGGGTAAGTTCAAGAACAGAATTTCTGGATTGTCAATTAGAAATTAGAAATGTTGATTACGCGAAGGATGCGTAAATATTTTTTTTTCATAAAAATGCAATTTATGTATCCAGATTTCAAGTTAGTCCGCTTTAGGAATTTTAAACAGGTAAAATTCTGACTTTAAATTTATGGTCTGAGGAAATCAAAGAAGACTTATGGCGTCAAGTAGGCCACGAACTACCCCACTTGTAAGTTACTATTTAGTCCGAATTCAAGCAACTATACAGGGGCACATTATGTAATGCAACGTTTCACGGCGAGTATTTAAATAATCGCACTGGGTTTAAGAGTTCCATGATAGCTTATTAAGCCATCCATATAACGTTAGTAAACTACACAAATATTTATTAATTTACAACATATCGAAGACATGTGACTAGATTTGTGACTTGATTCGTCACAAAATCACAACGCTTTTGGGACTAATTCTGTACAATTAACGTGATTATTGGTCTGCCTTCACGAATCTAATAGCAGCGACGATAAAATTGTATTTGCACCCACTTTAAGGGCCTGTGGAGGCTTTTGTGGAAAAATAATTTACTCGCAGCCTTGACCGAGGGCGACTCTGATTTCAAAGAATGCCTTAGTGTACTTACCAGAGTTACTATCTCCTTCACAATTTCTAGATCCTCTTGAAGGTTCTTCCGGTGGATGACTTGCAGAGGATCTCTGCCCAGTTGATGAAGTCTTTCAGCAGCTACGGACTCGAGGGTGCGTCGCATGAAGGGGTAATTTTGAAGGACCTCAAGAAAGCTGTTACGGTCCAGGGCATAGAGGTTGCAATAGGTCTCCGCGCGGACGCTGGCTACTCGTCGGGCATTCGTCAGGAGACAGATTTCTAAAATGCAGCAAGGAGTCGTCGTTTAATTTCCCCCAGAGTTCACCTTCATTAGGAAATCAATTTGACGAATAGTGCTGCTAAGACAGGCACCCTTATGCAGAGTATTGTGGTTTTCGTGGTGCAAAAAGTCACAATTTTGAAGTGTAACCAAGTCACCACGGTTCAAAAACCCAAAATTATAAGAAGAAAAGCTAAAGGGTTGCTTAGCATGTGCCTGGAACGGGTTATGATGAACCATCTAGAAGAACAAAATCAATTATTTTTAGTTGCATTGTGTTGTTCGGTGAGGTGTCTTTCATACTGAATTCATAATTGCAAATGGGCTCGTGTAAATCCACTGTGGTACCTGGTGGGTTTGGTGTTCTTGCTTCATCGAATCAACGCGACTTATCTAGATTGCTGTCTTTGACCACTACCTTACTATTTGAATTCAGTAGAACATTTCGCGTATTCTAGAAAGTGACTCAGGTACTGCGCAGGAGTTACGATTTCATCGTCCCGAAAAGTTTTTTTACCAACAGTATGGAGTTTACATCTGTTATCAACTTTCCTGGCCCAACCAATTGGACAAGACAAGTGTAAATTGGTTTGCTGGCCAACATTCTTGGGAATTCCGCATCCCAAAAACGAGATTTGTAAGATTTTGATAATTTTCTATTTTTTTACTATCATTTATTTTGATGCACACAAAGTTTTGTATTCATGTCGGCCGCTCTCTCCCTATTGGCCCATTTGTCTTAGAGTGTACTTTTACTGCGAATAGCACCCAAGACCGCCCACGCCAGGTACCAGTGAACGCACCTGGCCGCGCACCGGCCTTCGGATGCGGCGGTAAAAAGCTGCTCGGATTCTTGACTCAGCGAGGAGACGCTGACTCAGCCGTGTTTTGTCCCCGCTGAACAAAGAGGTTTGCTTGTTTTCGCGCTTGGGACCTTGAATCGGTGCGCGGGTAAATCATAACAAAAACATTACCACTATCATGCAAATTTGTTTAGATCGGCTTTGCGAATTGGGGGGGAAAACCGCTAAGAGGACGAAAATGTAAGGAAACGATTTCAGTCGTGAAAGTCATTCACCCGAACGATTTCGTCCGCTCACTTCATGTAAAACGATGCGGTGCTGGGGAAATCAAAATAACTGAGAACGAAACTCTACGCGCTGGCTAAGATACTACTCACATATTTAGATTTCCCATAAAGTTAGGCCAAGTGGTAGGCGAAATAGCTCTTTAATGCCGTGGTTTAGTTTCATTCCATGATGTAATGCTCGAGTGGAAGATTGTAAATACTCGTCATATAGTCCTGTGGTGTAACTCAAGATTACACAAATTTTGACGTAAATATTATGAGAAACTGCGAGGGGAAAGATCTTCGTTATCACATGATAGCAAAAAGGGAATTAAGCTGTGACAAACAGGAATAACGCCAGGCTGTCTCCGTAAATGGCAAAGTCCTCTGCACAAATGCTAATGCAGTTCCCTGAAATTGGTATTTTGTTTGGAATACTGACCTTTTTAAACAGTTTTGGTAAAGATCACCGTGCGGCATCTTGGTGGCGCCGGCAAAATTTTTATCCCCATTTCAGCCTACACAGTCACGAATGCCTTGGTTTAAAAAGCTGGTCAAGGAGGGCGTCCTGCTTGACATTTTCGCGCGCATCGCTATTGCGCTTCCCTTCAGGTCTATGTGGATACAGAAGAGATGTGCTAAACCCATTGACTCCGATAGAGTTAGAATTTTGGGGTAAATACAAAGGCAACAGTGAATAAGCACCCAAACGATACTTGGGTAAGACTGTAACATCAAGATCTACCTTTTCCTGATTCAGAACTTGTAATAAGCATATGGATTAAAAAATCAAGTTTTGCACAGCTACGTGGGCTATACCTGACTTTATTAAACGGATCATTTACCAAAATGAAAATCACATTTCTGTAACTGTTTTGAGCGACTAACTTTAAATGCAGAATCTCAAATGATTGAATTTCAAATTGGAGGTGCGAACCGCGCCGATGTTGTAATTATCCAACATGATCATGACTGTGCGAGATGAAAGTGTGGAAAATATTGCCTAGTTTTATATTTCTGACTTCAATCTGTACTAAATCAAGCTACTTAGTGACACATCAGTGCATTAGATAACGGCAATGTAACCGAAATTGAAGTAGCATGCACAAACCATTGACTTCACCTAACTACAGAAGTTATAAAACTCTTCAAGTATCGATTGCGCCAAGCTTTAGACATAAAATACAACAAAACGATCAAAAAAATGTCTCCATAACTTTTCAGTGAAATGTGCTTAAGTTACAGGAGACAAACTAGTAGCAATGACTCATAGACCCGAGTGTTTTCAATTTTCGAGCACCATCCTGCTAATGAAGTTAGCTTCCATATTACGAGTTGGGAGCCACAAACAGCTTACGGTTTTAGATAGTCTGTCGCACAAAATTGTTCTAACAATGGTCAACTTAACTCCACATCAACAAACTTTGAAAAAAAATTATCACCGGTTTATTATAGAAACGATTCTCAGAAATAAATTTTCTACTCGCATTCACTAACAGATGAGGCCTATAGCGCAAAGCAAGGATGCGGCCTGCGGATTGAGCCTAGTAGGCATCGGTGGACGCTGTTTGGGATAGGTGAAATTAAAGCACATTGACGCCCGCTTTGACGAAGCGAGCGGCATACATTCTAAATAATTCATAATCTAAGTCAAAAATGACACTTGGTTTGGAATACCCAAACAAAGAAATTAGATGACCGCAAAATACCCTTTCAAATTTCGTCTAATGACTCAACTCAGAGTGGATGAGCACATACGAGGCTTTTATAACAGGTAGTCAATTATTTAATTCAAAGAGAAAAGAATAGGTGACCTTAGTTAACGTTGTTTAGAAGAAGATAATTCAAAGATGTGAAGCAAATGTCCAATAAGTAGGATGGACTGCCAACTTGAGGGTTTTGTTTGTTGCTTTCTCTATAGGGCAGGCTAGTGATAATTTTAGATTTCGTTTTCTAGACAATCGGCAACTGACTTCTTCATTTGAATGCCAATATTTTTTACATATTAAATAATATGCGGTATCCACTAAATGAAACATACTAAAATCCTGTTTCTCAAACTGCTCGATCATAACAGAAATGATGCGGACTAATTTGATGTACACCAAGCAGTTTTAATCACTTTAAAGCCATTTCCTAAATATGCCAGACATTCTAGTCCAATTATTAGAATCTATGCTATTGCAAAAAAATGAGATTTCAGGAAAAAATTCGTGTGTGATTTGTATATCCTGAAAGAATATACTCACATTATGTCGAATTTTTCTTAATGCAAATGCAGAACAGTCATTTGCATAAATTAAAAAAAAAATTTTTATCCTGCACGCCCGAACAACCTCATGACTTTCCTGAAGTAACTGGCTAGAGTCCCACACAGCAGTGTATTTTCTCCAAGAATTTGTATGTTTGGAAGCAAGTGATTTCTGTGTTCCGTTGAGCTCTGTAATTCTGTGGGCGCACAATCTACCAATAATACCAGTTATTGGTAGTTCCTGATTTCGTCCTCAGTCACCTTCATATCTGTAGCGTGGATGTGTGGTAAATCTAGCTAATTCACTGTTCACAATTGTTATTCCTTCCCAGGATTCCCAGCTGAGCCACCTGACATCTTCCCCGTCTCACCAAGTGCCTGTGCAACTAATTTTCCCGGCCCTACGCCCGCCAGCTATTTAAACAGATCCATGTTGCATAGGCCCCAGCCAAAGGTGCTCGTGAGCACATACAAAACTGCGTACACAGTCCCAGTGGTCAAGTAAACGGCTGAGCTCCCGTGAGCTTTGGTCTTCATTGGAGGCTTGGTGTTGGATCGGGTGAGGGCACCACTTCATTGTCCCTAATCAATGCTTGGGTAAGACTGTAACATCAAAATCTGCCTTTCCTGATTCAGACCTCGTAATAAGTATATGGATTTTTAAAAAAATGATATTTTTACAGCTACGTATGCTATATTTGACTTCATTAAACTAATCACCCGACAAAGCAATTAATGGCTTGTTGCGAGAGATTTGTGTCTTTTTTAATGAGATCAAAAGGCATGCATACATGAGACAGTAAGCTACGAAAATTGTAGGGCAACCAGAGCATACCTTGCCTGGGGAAACTTTAAAAACAATTAGGCTTATTTATGCTTCAGGCAACCTGTTTGAAGAAACCACCAACTATGAAACAGGAATATATACGGGTTTGAAAACACGTATTCTGACTCTAATTGTGGATTTAACATCCAAAAATAACCTAATATATGACTTAATTACTAAATTAAAATTGAAGCCTGAAGTGTCCTGAGAACAGGAGTGCTTGAAGGCAAATTAACAAATTAACAAACATACTCAGGAATTTTGAGCCAATTCGACTCATGCTATCGAATTTGTAATTGTTTGACTAAGCTTTTCAGCAAAATTCAACCAAAGACACACTAGGTTTATACATTTTAATAATAACGAATAAATTACCTCTTTCAAATGTGATTAGACATCTCAGTGGAAATGTTATAAAAGAGAGATTAATTGTAGAATTAAACTGCTGTTCCGAAACATGCATCGAAACACCAAAGCACTCAATAAGCAGACTCAAGGATGCAAGGTAAACTTCTGTTGCCTAAAGTTACCTTGAAATGCTAACTGTCTGCCGCAAGTGTTTCCAAGACATAATTGTTTTTTTTACAGGTCAGGAACTAATAATAATGTCAGAACCGTAATCTATGAAAAAAGAGGAAATCATTCACAAAATTTCCCCCCTGTAGCCGAATACTTTTACTCTTAAGTCACAATGCAAAAAACTTATGTTTTTGACAATCAGGCTATAAATATGCTGTCCGAATGACAAAATTACTCGCTGCATCTACTGACACATTTGTGCACATAGGTGATTTACGCATTACGGTCTCCTGCAAGCTCATTTGCATAATCACTTGAAGAAATTCACCTCCGTGGTCCGTATAGGCTAATAATAAAATCCACATTGTTTGTAGCGGATATTTAAAATTGAGTAGCTAAAAAATGATCGTGGCCACTTTATTAAAGTCGAAGGCTCATGTTAAGGATTTGGTTAGAAAAGTATAAAAGTTCACAGATTTGCAATCATAAGAACAAAGAAAGCTAAGTCAAGCAATGCATAATTCTGGCATAACTGAGAGTTCAGGTAAAGAATGCGAGATATTTGACAAACGAAAAACGAATAGTTAATAACATTGGCCTAGACCGAACAAATGTTTAGCTAATCAGGAAAATGCATTGATTAAGTCTAAAGGGAATCGAGTAACGAGGTTCAACAGAACCACTGCATTATTTAGCATGTTTGCCTCCATATTTGACTACTTCTACAAACTACCTCGTAAGTTTTATCAATTTAACCTAAAGCACTTTGCAGAAAGTAAGCGAACCATAATATAAGATATAACTAACACAGATGTTGCGTGACCTGTTAATGATTTAACGCTCCAACCAAATATTTTGTGAGAAGGCTGAAAAGTTTGCAAAAAAATTATGAAAAAAATTAAGTAAAGAGTCCAAAACAGGAAATTAAAATTAAGATCCAATGTCAAAATTTCACCATTGAATTCTGGTGTATTCCTAGGACTAAGTAAGAAGCAAACTTTCCGATTTCTGGGAATGTTTTGGTAAGCTAATATTCTTTCCGATAAGTATCCATGTTGTTTAATCAATTCACCGTATTGTCAATTTACTTAGACAAGTGTTGAATAGAGACACTAATGAGGCATAAACCTTAAGACTTCTGAAATACCTAGTCAGAGTAACCATTTTGATGTAAAAGCATTTAATTTTTTTGTCCTTGACGAGTTGATCTCAGATATGCCACCACATTCCCCAGACAAAGGCAGGTGAGTGGGAGAAGACCTTTCGGATTTCTACAAAGTCCATTTGTCACACTCGTAAATGCCTGGAATGCGGCGTACGGGGAATTATCGCTGGTTTGTTTGCATCATTCCTGGATTCAGAACGCGCAACAGTGCCTGGCTAGAGGTAATTTTTCGCGGCTCGAGTGTACTACATTTTGCATTTTACACTTTGAAGGCTCACACTAATTTTTTAACTCTTAAACTACACTAAAACGAATTAGAACTTGTTCTTTTTGATCCATTTATTAAGTAAAAATCGCGGTAGTTTACGCACAATTCAAAGCAGGAACACGAACCAGGTGTAAGTTTTGAATAATTTTGCATCACCATCAACGCACCCCTTTTTTTAAACTTGACGAAAAGGTAATTTCTGATTTTCGACTTCTACTGTTAGCACTCTACGCAAATTCAGGCCACGAGATTTTTAATGGAACTGTCGATTTTACGATGCATTTAGATAATTGGCAGCAAATAATTGGGCGATAAAGGCAATATCAGTACAGTCAAAAGTGCGAAATGCCATCCATGAACTTTTGCAACCACATAATGCATCTAAGATTGCTCCTCTATCTAAAAGCATCACAAGAGTGTGCCTTTAAGCGATTGAAGAATGATAACCGGTTAGATGTCTGTTCAATTTACCGGAACAATCTACAAATTGATGTATCAGAACGTTACAAATAACACAGGTTACGTGAGCTGTTGAATACCTGCTGTGTTCAGCAAGCTAAATAAACTAAGAATGCCTGATCTCAGGTATTTGAAATCAGAAGGCTCTGCACCATGTCTTTTTTTGTCACACAAACGTGTAAATCCGCGATAGTTAACATTCCTTTTAAATATTAGGTGCAGGTTTAAATTTTACAGATCATTCAGCAAATTTATTTAATATAACAAAATACAGAACAAGTACCTTAATCTCGGAAATATTGTCCATCGGATTCTATGACCTTGTGCCATCTCCCTGGTAACGTAAGAATGCCGTTCGAGGCAGTAAATCATTAACGAGTTTACCCATATTGCCTAGCATTTTGAACTGTTGATTCACTAAGGCGCGCTGCTGCTGCATTAACCGGAACAAGTAGTAGTGGGATGGGGTCAAGTCTCTTGAATATGCCGCGTGTGGAAGAACATCCCATTCCATGAACAAGAGGATCTTCCGAGTCTCACGAGCAATGTGAAGTAGTCGAGCGTTGTCATACATCAGCAGTATGACTTACCTACATCCTTACCCTCTAAAGGGCCTTTTCTGATCAAGTTCTTCGTTCCATTTGTTCGATTGGCAGCTGTGGCGTTCCGCAATAACTGTCTGACGACCTGTTTCCAGGAGTTCGTAATCAAGTACGACCTTCATATCCCAACAGATAAACATGAGAGTCTTCTTTAAGTGGATCTACTGTTTCGGCACCGATGAGCCACTAGGTTAGCCAGGATCTACCCACGACATTTTGCATTTGGGATTCTCGTAAAAAATTACTTTTTATCATTCATCACACGTTTCCACAAGCAGTCCTTTCTTTGTTGCCGGCGAGCAAGCAGCGAAAGGCAGGTGTTCAGTTGTACTCGGTCAACATTTGTGGGACCCAAGTTCAAGGTTCTTGAATTATTTCCACTTGGCTCAAAAGCTTGGATCTAGGTGTTTGGGTAACTACGAATTGAGCTGCAAGCTCCTGTTACATTTGTGGTTAATCTTCGTCCGGTAGGGTTTGTAAATCTACACTTCCAAACTTTTTACGTTGCTGTCCGGGGATCGGCTGGGCAATAAAATCGAAATCACAACTGTTAAAGCGTTTTTATAAATAATTATGCATTTCCCAAAACAAAACGTTAGCACCAAGAACATTAAAAATTGATTCCCGTAATTTGGCAGCATTAATTCCTTGTTGGAATTTATCTGAGATGCAGTGCCGAATGTGCTGCTGATCTGTTGCCCTGGTAAACTGCGGTTCTGAGAGGTCACGTAACTCACGTAGAAAAATCGTTTAGTGTTCTGAAACTTTGTGTCCAATCCTTTCGAAACCACAAAAGACCACGGAAATATCCTTCTTTTAAGCATTATTTTAAGCTCGAAGAAAGTTTCACCAAGTCTAAGACAGCACTGATCTTTCGATGGCAGTGTTACGAAGCCTTTGCATAGTGGACTCAAGGAATGTACTTTTGCTTTTGTGAAAAGTCCCTCTACTTCACATGGGTTGTTTCTGTGACATTGTTTACTGTCGTTGATTACAGTAAGTGGTAGAGGAAGGACGTTTAAAGAGCAATTACCTAGCAAAATCTTCGATGTTGACTAGCATTATCGTACCTTAAAATACTAATACCCATGCTAGACAGCTGGAGTTTTGTTGTTATTTTTAGTATGTTCGTAGTACTGAAGAAAAAAGGATAGTGTCAATCAAACTTAGCAACAATAAGGATTTTTTTCTTTTGATTTAAGGTTGTCGCTAAACAAATTTGTTATAAAATAAGCAGATACCATTCTAGTTGACATAAGGGCACAACTTCAGCACTAAGTTTTTTGGCAATCGGTTTAATTTAGAATAATGCTTTTTGAATGAAGAAGTCTGATTAGCAGCAAAAATAGATTAGCCTGCCAGTTAGGTCCAAACAAAAGCTTGGTGTGACAGCCAAATCAGGTTACCTAAAACGAACGTAGGTTACTGAGGTAACAGTGTCATCTCTTAACGTGTAGGAACAAGTTTATTCGACTGCCTAGAGGGAGGTTAAAGAAATGCACTAAGAGCTTCTAGTTTGGAGATAACTATTATTACTAGGTGGCAAATCCGTTCAATACAGCTGTTCGTCTTATAAATTTTCAGTCGTTATCGTGGTCAAATGGTTAGTTGATTCTATTTTTTGGGTAAAAACCTTGAGCCAAAGACGGATAATACTGCGGAAGTCTTCGATTTACTATTAAAATACGCAGCATCTGTGTGCTCACCCTTAAGAAGAAGTAATTTAATTGAAGCAATATGTATAAATCTAATACATACATTTCTTAGGACACTGATGTCAACACTTTGAGATCACACGTACTTCACGTCACCAAGCGCCCAAGGAAAAGTGATTCCGTTGGGTATAATAAAGAGAGCTGTTTGGAGCAGCAGTGTTCACAATCCTGGGAAGCAATTACTTCGTTTCTTGAAGTCACAATTCACGATTTCATCAACGAAAGAGGCAAATAGTTGCACGTTCCTTCAGTTCGTGGTGACTTGCCAATTCACCACTTTACATTTGATACATACGGAGACTTTTGTTATAGGGAATGGAACGCAAACTGTTGACTTCAAGCAACATGTTACAAATTAAACACTTAGACCTTTTTAAAAAAATGTTTTTACTAGCATTTAACAGACAAGTGTACTGACTTGCTTATTAATAAACACAAACGGATATCCACGCTGACTAATTATGTAGAAGCAAAGACTAAACCCTTTCTGAGAATGGTTTTACAACTGATTAATTCAAAAAAATTAAAAAAATTAATGAATTGTTTTGATAAAGCGTTTCACACTTTAAAAAAACATCCAAAATCTTGTCTGTATTAACAGAGCACACTATTCATTATGTCGATTATTACAGAGATGAGAATTTAACCTTTAATTAATTGCTACCTGTTTGAGAAATCGTTCCAATTTTAAGTTTGTTCCTATGGAAATATGCACTTGGACCATTATTGTGCACTTTAATTACAAGGATTATCCGGACTACAAAGCATCTTATTTGGTCAATAGAGGTATAATTGATTTTAAGCAAGGGTGGTTTATAAAGTTGGACGAAGTCACGAATTGCGGGTTTCGACTGAGGCTACAGTCTATAGAGACAATGTAACCAAAAAATTAGATTAAAATATATTTGAATGTTGTACATTAAGTGCGGGCATTTACGTCAATCGCATTCATTTTTAAACAAGTTCCCTGCAGGGTCATGGTACACATGTCATTATTAAAAAAATTAGGACTTTTTTAATTGCGATATTGTGGAGGGTGAAACAACCGTTTCTTCAATCAAGCGGGCGTTTTCAATTTTCAACCCAAACAAAGCTATTTTTAGATATTTTTTTAACACATCTTGTTCTACTTTGATTAAGACAGCACTGAATGGTCCGATGTCATAATTGCATAAAATTTTTTCATTGATAGCCCTGTTAAGCGGCATAAACACAGAATTAAATTGAGAATCCTGTAAGACAAATCGGTGGAGAGGTGTGCTTGAGTTCACCCAATACGAAAAAGAATTACCTGGTATTTGACAAGGGCGTTTTGTCGCACAGTAGCCTGCTACACAACGACTTGGTAGTCGAACCTTGGCTGGAAAAGGTCTATTTTTGAGCTAGTACGGGCTGCTTCTGTCACTCCACAGGCATTTTTTGGCCAGCAACGTTTGGAGTTAGTATTCTGCATGGCAAAATTTTCATTCACGCAAACATCAAAAGATAGGCATACCTTTTTTAATTCGCAGAAATGTGCCCAGAAGTTCAGTTGGTTTAGTCAATGAAAATTAAAGCTGCGCAAACAAATTCACCCAGATATATCTAATAAACTGTTGTACAATCAATTTCTATCCATTGAGGCATCGTTCAGAATTTGACCAAATGTCAAAGTCAAAGAGGGAAAATGTTGGAATCGCAGTTTCTTCTTTCCTACCAAGCCAGACGCAAAGCTAAAGGCATAAGCAAATTTTGTTGCGGGCTGTGTACAAATTAAATTTATTGTATACAAGAAATCATTGCAGTTTGAATGCAATCACCGGTGGCTAAAAGTTGTCATGTGAGGCCACTTGGACAATAAGATTGGACAAGTTTAATTTACCATGGTTTGAGTGAGTAACTTTTGTACCGACGCCTACGAGACGACTGCACGCGATTGTGGTGCAGTTTTCAATGCAAAGGGTTATGCCCAAAACCTTTTACTAATGTGCTGATCAAGATTTCATATTGACCATTTAACTCCAAAAAGATGCCTCTCCTTTTCTGAAATACGATATTTTTAGATCTGGACTGAACAAAGCTCCACCCCACTCTGAGGTTAACTAAACATGACATAAATAAACTACCTAAAAAGTGACACATCTAAAATATGAAGTTAAGTAAACAAGGCATTTGGATTCGTCGAAAAAAATAAGTGAAGCAACCTTCTAGGAACCACGGAATAATATTCCATAAATCAAATGCGTACGCTTTTAGTAATGAAGAATTACTAGTTGCAGTAAACTAAATGAAATGTACTAATTATCAAACACGAGCGACTATTTCGAAAGAAATCACTATGTACCTTAATTTAAACGGAAACCTGGAAGCATTTATGTGTGGTACTAAACAACTTTAAAAGAAAACCACACAGTTTGAAGAACAGATCAAATTAAGCCACTAAATTCTTAACCTTGCTAGTGACCAGCAATTTTAACTTTATAGTGAGTATATCATGCGGAGATTCGAGTCTAGATCAGTTCGAATTCCTAGTTGGGCATCCAGGGCATAGTTAATGCTTCCTCACAAGTCAACAGTGCCTTTCAAGGTCGCACTTACGCATTCAGGCATTGCACATGGATCTCGACATTTACTTTTGCACACAACTCGTATGGCAGAAGGTTACAATGCTGGAAATAGGGTGTTAGTCATTAACAAAAAAATGAAGATACGTTAGCCTGACACCGTCTTGAAACCGTGATTCATAGGCGTAGAGATCGGGGAACGAAATTAGGTACACCAAGATAGCCACAAAGTAAAATAGCAGAGGGAATTTAAATAGTAAAGCACAAAGGGAAATAGTACAGGTTCTATCAGGTTTAAAAACATATTAGTTCAACGTTAAGTCCCTAATTATTGCAACGAGAAATCAGCCATCCAGATATGCCTGTCGTGTTAAATGTTGTAAGAAAATTACGAGCATTTAAGTTTGGTTTAAATCTTTAGTTGCGAGAAATTTTGAGCTAGATTTACAAAAGTTCAAGCATTGAATTTTTTTAACCTAACGTCATGTTAAGTACAAACCACTTTTGAAAGAAATAAATGCAGCGTTTCGACGTCTACGTTTGCATGGATTTTCGTGAGGTGTGCAGAATTTTAACAAAAAAATGTAGTCAATTAAAAAGCTACTTAGTAAATAAATCAGATTATTTAGAATCCAATGACCTACACTAGAGTCAAATTAGTGGCAAAATCAATACATCAGCATAAAGTACCAGAACCAGTTAGAAAGAAAATGAGCATCAAAAACTCGATTTACACTCCCTAAATCACAAATTAATACTAACCACCAAAATAGGATCCATCAGATAGACTTGTAGCAACACGGCCATCGGTGTCTACAATATCTACGACTCCTTCCTGTATGAAGTACATTTTTGTCCCAATCTGGCCCTCCTTGATTATCCAATCGCCTGGCTGAAAGACCTCGTACTTCAGTTTCATAATCACATCCGAGACGAAATGGCGGTCAGCGTAGGTGAAGAAAGGAACGGCGGCGACCAACTCTCGACAATTGTGATTTACAATTTGCTGCAATGAAAAATATTGACAAACGCTGGCAAATATTATGATAAATAGGCAGATGGAGTTAAATTCTAACTAGTGGCAAGATACTCCGAAAGGGATATCAACAGGGGGAATCTTTTTCCTAGTAATTATAATTCCAACCTTCAGTACCATTATTTTGCTAATTAGTAACTAGGGTAAAACATTTTCTCAATTTTGCATTAAATTATATGTCATCCAAATGTATCTTTTATTGTTCGAATTGATAGGCTATTAAGCGTTCTTCCTTAATAAATTTTAATCACCCAATTTATTAAGAAAATGTGCAATGTGGTAACGGCTTGGACTTTTAGAAGGAAGATAATTCTCAGTAAAAGTATGCACTAAATTGGTCAGCAGGAAAGGATTTTTTGCTGGCTGTTAGGGGTATTTAGGCAGAGATTTTCGGCTGGAGTTACATTCATGCAGACGTACAAGTGGTAATACGGTAAAAACTTATAGATCAAAATGCCCTATCAGACCAAATTAGCACTGCTGAGTGCACCAGGAATTGTGGACGATTTGCTTCGCTTGGTGAATTCGATTGGAACGCAACAGAATGAATAAGTGATGGGCTGAAGGTTGTCGCCAGGTCTATCGAAATCCTACAGGTCTGTGAACCTCCAAGATGACGATACTAACTACGTGTTTAAGGCGAACGCTTTCGGCTTCCCCATCGCCTAACCGGTAATAAAAATGAGCAAACCACATGCACTCATCCAAATAGTCGTACGTTCGTTCACAAAGTAATTTTGGCATTTAGTTGATGTCAGCACGTAAAAGTACACAAATATTTAATAGAAATGACATGTATAAGTTGCCAACTAGAACTTCACTGTTGCACGCGTTCAGGAGAAGTTTCACTGGTATTTTTTCTAGATGAGGAATAAAACAGGATCCTGTCTTGGCTACAGCAAATTATAACAGTAAGTTATGAACGTCCCTGCAAGCTTCTGTACATTAATGCGGATTTGTTATAAGTAATTTGCAATCACTAGTTTTGTACAAGATGTTCGTTTACTTAAATGGGCTTTGCTTGGTATTAGTGATTCGAAATCGACACGATGTTCCATCGCTAATATATGAGGTAAGAAAAACTTCAGAGCAAGCACATAGTGTTTCAACAATTAAGTTGGTTTATGCTGAAGATAACAATTAAAAAACTGTTAAATTGTCACTTTGCCGAGGCCCCGGAATCAATTGTAACTCACCAGTAGGCTTAACATTTTGTTGCAAGTAATCTCAAAAGCGCTGTCTGTACATGACCGTTTTCACTGTCAAATTAGTGCGACAAGAAAAAAAAGCATCCCTTCTAGATACATGGCCTGATGCACAAGTAAAACTAGGCGACAACTGGCCTTAATTACAAACAAACTGTTCACTATTTCGATGTTTCACTTTCAATCTAGTTTATGCGTCTGTGTTTAGTTGCCTCCAAGCTATGCTTTAAACACTATTCTATTGTGCGAGAAACAAAGTATTGCGATGTGTGTACTTCTACCTGCAAAATGCCAGCCAAGAAGCTAGAAGAATTGTGTCACGTGAGAAATAATGGAAAACGCTAATATTGGCCAACCATGCGGAATGGTATTTCACTCGTTTTACAATTTTCCTTTGGTTCAGAAAAAGACTTAACGCAACTATTCTCGGAGACCAGGATCAGAAATCGTAAAATAGAATCCAGAACTAGGTATTTAGCCATTTCCTCATCAAAGATCAATTTCACCTTAAGAAATGTTTAAATTATTTTACTCTTTGTAAAATAAGGGAAAAATTAGCGTAGTTTTCGAAAGTAGATATTGCAAATAAAGACGCTTTTGGTGACATACAGAACCCAAGGTTACCGGGCTAAAAGTGCGGATGTGTGCATCTGTGTTAAACGACCGTTTGATTGCCCTCTAGGGTCAGGGCAGTGGTTTCAAGGAGCAAATTCAGTGCACAAACATGGCTGTCTTCATTTTCACCCTGAACTTAAATTGAGAGAGCCATGTGTTAAGAGAGAGCCCGTGGAACAAAGAAGACTTGTTTAATTTTCATGTATTACGGCAAAAATGTTTGACGGCATTATCTGCCGCCAGACTGTACCTTGTCACATCAATTTACACATTGTCCTAAAGTTTCATGCAAATTATTTTTCACATCGCTTCGATTCAGGCCATGGTTTATCACAACATCGTAAGTGGGTCTTCTATCTACAGAATTGAATTGATTTTGTGGAACTAAATGAACGTACTCATGGTTATTTCAAAAATTGCCCAATTTTATCGTATGCTACAGTTCGAGAGAATTTTTGTAGACCATGCTTCGTCTGTTTCATTCGATCTTGGCTAGGGGGTTTTATCCATATTAAATTTCAGTAAACCAACTTAATCCAGATTAAAAATGATTAATTTAAGCAATGGTCACCTGACGTAAGGAGTCCAATAATTAACAAGCTAAACCGGGATACATAGCGTGTCCATGTGCAACAGATGAAAAAGTAATAATACCGATGTACAGGAGTGTCACTCAGTTCAATGAAATGTTACTATTTAAATTTTTCTCGCAAACAAAAGAACACAGTTGTCAATTTTGCTTGTATGTTAACAGACAAATTGCTCCCTAAATACAAAAGGATCACTTTTGCACAGTTTATGTTTTGCTAGGTGAAGGGTCTTTTTTAGTAGCAGAAAAAATTGAAGCTTAGATTAATAATTGGGTTTCAATCTCAAGAATCACAGAAGGATAGGCAAAAGGCAAGTATAAGTTATCTTTAAACCTTGTACGGGAAAAGTACAAGACGACAGAGTAAGGAAATGCTCTTTCAGTTGTGTTAAACCTAGGACTCGTTCAAAAACTAATTCTCTTCAGATGGCACCGTCAAACCCTGTGCAGTAACCCTGACAATTTCCTCCCTGCATGATAATTATCCACATTAATATATGTCTTCCAAGTTTCGGTTGCTGTTCCCTGGTCTGCTCCCAAACCTTTGAGCTGTCAATTCTTAGGAAAGAGATTAAACGGTAGTTTTAAGATTACCTTCAGAACAGTGAAGCATCAAACTTGAAATGATCGCAACATCGAAAGTTGGAAAGTAATTATTTTCAAAAGGACTGATCCTGCAAAAATTATTTAAAAGGAACTTCAGTTTTAATTTAATATCATACCTCCCGAAGACACTCTGAGAGTTCATCCAGAATGGCCAGTTCATTAAACATTTTTCCTTGATATCGGTGTTCATAGTAGCTCGCCACTTTTTGTCGAAGGACTCGAGGTAATTTTCTGTAAGCCATATATTCCTCAACCTGTTTGAACTGAAATAAAATGCTGGAAATTAGAGCCATGCAAACTCTTTGGCTCTTGTCGTGTTAGGATCTTTGTGCTAATTCATGTTTATTTTCAGGGAAACATTTCTCAAGGCATTGGAAGTCAGGAAAACTGAAAGCTGAGCCAAAATAAAATTTGAATGGAACGGGTGAGGAGAAGTGGCATAAGAAAATGGGGTCCAACTGCGAATTCCAGCACCCTTATTTACCGTTGTACGAAATCTTCGAAATCCATTTGTAAATTACCATAGTTTCATACCTCAACTGCTAAGATAACGAAAAAAATAAGTTAGCTACTGAAACAGTTTGACACACTGTGTTATTAAGGTGTGCTGAAATTGATTGTGGAAAGATTTTAAATGCCACAAACGCAGTTAAAATGAAGGACTGAAGGGTAAGATAAACTCTTTGCAAATAGACTTGAGTGAGTTTGATTTTATCAGCAAGCTTTTGTCTATGCTTCAAGGTTGCATAACTTGGAAAACAAATCCTTTCTAGCTACGACTGAATAGTAACGTCGCAGTCACAAATTCAGTGTAAATACTAAACTTGAAAAAATTAAAGAACTTGCTACCCTTGTCCAAGACAGTTAAAATTTTCAAATTACTCATTGGATAACGCAGAGGCAAGTCACGGTTTGACGTCTATTTCCATTCAAACGGTTAATTATGATTTGTCTTTAGTATTACAAACCACTCGTTGATGGCGGCAATCCACCTGTTATAAGATGCAGAGTAATTTTTAAATATTTTAACCTTGGCATTAAAATTGTATAAAACGCGTGTTGGGAGTATTGCATTGCGTAAATGAAAGCTTTAACTTATTATTTGAGGACGACAGAGATACTTTTATGCATTTTACAAACGGTTGCGTCATGTGTGTGAGTGCCATCACTATGGACAATACCAAATTTAAATTGTTAAATTTAAACAAACACATCATGACATCGGGTGACAAATGCACTACTGAAGACAGCAAATGGTTAAAATAAGGTCTGGCTTTCGCTAAAACTGATTACAGTTTAATTCTCAGACAGTTTAACAAACCAAAGAAGTCATTTTTAACATTGCCAACATAAGTCTGGTTCTAATAGTCACACGTGAGTGTGCCCTCTGCAAGACCCTAAAAGGGGACTGCCTTGCAGTGTAATTTGCCTCAGTAAAGGAAACAGTGAAGACAGAGGTGAAGAGAGCACTCTTCAAACTCCAGGAATAAGAGCATATGCTTTGAAAAAGATCCTAACACTGACAAGCCGCTAGTAAGTCAAACTGGTAAAAAATTAAAGTTTTGCGAAAAGGCACCAATTTTTTAGGTCATTCAACCTGCAGTGGTTGAACGTATATAGCATCGAGTTTTTAGTTGTCCAGTGTAACAGAACATTGCACGCTAAGAAGTGTGACACAGAGCGGAAACACGGTATTACAGGGTGTGAGGCAGCGTCAAAAGTAGTTTGCTGAATTTCTAAAGTTTGCGATTTAAAAGTGGCTTTGAAGCCAAAAAAGGCACTTCATTTCAAGAACACTACGATTTTTCTGTACCATCGTAATCAAAAGTATTTAACCGAGGTAATGCACACTGATTTGTTTAACTGTATATTAAGAAGCACAAAAAAGAAAAAGCCACAAATCCCTGCATATTTTGAATTCGAACTTTAGGTAATTAAAATAAAATTTGGTTCTGTCGGTGTGCTAAGTTGAGTTGATTTTTTTTACCCATGTTCGCTATGTTTTATTTGTTCCCAGTTATTTTCAACACCACAAAAACCATTTTTGCTGTACAACAATTTAAATGAAATGTAACGTGGATGCACGTGCCCTTACACACTGCTTTGTCAACGCCAGCGGACGCATGCAGTAACTTTTGGGGCATTATTGATTTCAAATTAATACGGTTAACGGTCTTCGTTTGACATGGAAAAATCCATTCGAAATCATTAAAAATAGGAAAAGCAACGTGTATTGTTTATGTGGTGATCGGAAAGCTAAGGATTCCAAAAGCCATGGCTACTTTGAAGCACAGACCGTTATCAGATTCTAGTCCAGGCATGAAGCCTTAATTACAAAACCATTTGCTAAAGTCCAGACACAGGTCAAGATTTTGTGATCTTCTGACAAGGCTGCTACTTCATTCGAATTCGTTCTACGTCTACTGCAACTCCAACAACAACGAAAAGAACAACTACTACTATTAACAATCCACGGTCTTTAAAACAACTGGACTATAATTACGTTACCTCAAGATTCTTTCAAATTTGGTTTTCACTACTTTCATCTTTAAAATTCCACTTGGTTGCCATACAAAATTACTAACGGGTTAGACAATAGTTTTACTTAAAATTCATCAAGGTTTCCAAGGAACAATTCTGTCAACCGGCTGTGTAAGGTGTACTCAATAGTACCATAAATTATTTTTCAGTAAACTTTGAAGTCGTAGATAATCCGAGCAGCTTTTCAATTCAATGTAATTTCAGGACGAAGCAGAAAACGATAGTAAAAATTTTAATTGGAATTATTTTTAGTCCAAATAATGCTGAAAAAAGGGACGGTGCATTAATAGGAGATAGCAGTTGAATCATCACAAGTACGACAACTGTTGCACGCTCATAGTTTATACACCTTAGTGCTACCATGAGTGTTTTAATTGTGCGCAAAGTTACTGCGAGCATGCCAAGATAGCCCAAGCAGAGGATTATCTGAGTATTTAATGGACGACATTTATCAATTTGGTGGCGCGCGGGTGAATAAAAATCTCTGTTGCTCGCTGACACCCACGGAAAGCATGAAATAGTAAAGCGGGGAAGAGGGAACAGAAACAGATGTCAGGAGCGTTCATTCATCCGTCATTGTTTGTGAGTGTGTAGGCGTGTTTGCAGAGTACTTGTGAACGCAGACCATTGTAAGAAGAAAATGAATGACAGATGCCAATAAGTGTTAGACAAACCTGGTTGGACAGGCTTCTGCTCATATGACTCTCATAGCGGTCAACTAAATTTCTATGACACATAAGTTTGCTTTGTCGGTCACCTGGTGGCCCAATGGGTTTATGCCACAAATCTATGCCACCGAAAATCACAAATGAAACTAACAAATAACACAGTGGCAATGTACAACAATGAAAACTTGCCTTTTCACGATACATTTTTTTTGAACAATCGAAGGACTGGATGAGCGCTGCTGCGTGGCCAACGAAGAGAGCATAGCACGTGGACCCGGTCATCATGCTGATAATGGTGATCCAAGCCTCACTCGGACTCGTTGGGGGAAAGCGTCCGTAGCCGATTGATAACATATGCGACATGGCTTTGAACAGTGCCCACGTGTACTGCTCAAACCAGTCGGCATCCTGTGCATAAGGAAAATTACCTCAATGTCAATGATGACAATATTTTGGCTCACTCAAAAAAGAAATTCAGATCCCTAAAATTTACAATAAAGGATAGATCATACAGATGTTGATAATGGTACTATTTTTATGCAACACTTTGAAGATAATGTGCCTGGGATTCGGAACTTGCATTCTGAATTAATAAAAATGAAAATTATACCAAAACCAATTTTAAAATTTAACCTGGGCAATAATAATAAACCGATTTGTTCTACTATGAAATGAGATTAATTTCTCTCATGTATTTTAAAACCAAAAAAATACGATTCCCGCAACGCAAAACAAGTCTTTTTGTCGTCTATGATGCTTCAGATATTGAATGATAACAACATTTAGGATTTCATCTCATTATAAACTTCAGCTAATTTTTTTTAAAAAAAAACGACATGTATTTCTTAGAAATCTGCAATTTTTTTCTGTTACTCAACTAAACCCAGTGACCTAGAATTTATCTTCTAATTTAATGCGTTAAAACGGGTCTGCTGAAGTACAGCTGAGCATTTTTGAACTTAAGTTTCACATTTGAGAATATTCAAAATTGTTCCAACTTGGCTTCTATTCAGATAACCAACATTCAATTAAAGCAGTGAAACCTTTAATCCAGCTATAGTAGACATTGAATTGAAAGGAATTACAAGGGTTGCAGATAAATGTCCCTTTGGCTGCATTGGCAGGAGAAAATAAATTGCGCTATATAGGATTTACTCTTCTGACTGATTTCTTTACTGGATTGTTTAGGTTATGGTTGAGGAGGCTAAAATTTCCATATTTCGCGCAACTGCGTGTTGCATGGAGTTGCGCTGCGCCATCAAAATTACATTGTAGCGTTTGCGCCAATATTTCCACTAAATGGCAACATCATTGGTTCGTAATCGTTCCTAAAAGCATGTGAATGGCTGCTCCGAGCGTTAACTTGATTAAATAACTGAAGCAGGATACAAAAATTGTCAGCATTCGTCCACTCACAATAGAACTATGATAAAAATGGTAGTACTCGTGAATCCGTTTTAAGAAATAGTGTTTAAAAATGAATGCTGGATTGCAGGTCCTCCTGGTGTTGAATCCGTAGTGAATCGGGCTGATTCAAGGCTAATAACCCAGTTGTTGCAACCTCACACATACATGTCCCCCCTTTCAAGTGAGTCCGTCAGTCATTCGCCCCTCAGCATGTACCACCACTACCCCCCCTTTATCCATGAGACCATTCCGCGACCATTCCACGACCATTTTGACCATTCCGACGTCACTCAATCATATCAGTCAGTAAAACACCGGAGTCATGCGCTACCTTTAATACAAACAAGCAAACAAACGAAAACGCGACTTGGTTGAGCTGTCTAATAAACGGTTGTGCCTCGCCCTCTCAGGTCTTCCAAATTATCGCGAGTACTCAGGGTGGCGTAGTCGGGCTAGTTTGACACAGTGGCCCCGGTGTGTTGGCTTAAAACACGCCGGGTTCTCAACAAATCATCAGAAAACCTGTGGTGGTTTTCCGACGGAGGCTTACAAATAGAAGCCAGTGCACATAGACTTATCAGAAGTCGTCCTTTCACCAACTGGGCGTTCTTTCTTGAATTACCCACATCTTCTGCATTCACATTGCCACAAGCACACAAACCGCATGTGCGCGGTTTAAGGTGATTTGCCTGTCACCATCTCTCTGGGATGTGGCTAGTGGTACAGTTTCGGAGCACAAAACGTTTGCATAACCCTTCAGATCCTTTAACCTGAAGGAACTACAGGAACAAATTAAGCATCGTCTAACTAAGCGCGCGTCCTAAATTTAGGCATTCAAACGTAGGTGGTTACCAGAAGTCAAACATCCAGAGAACTGTGCTTTTTCCAAAAAAGCGCCAACCAGACGAACTCACTTAAATGAACATATTACGTGTTAAAATAAAACAATGTAGATCAGAACTTTTGAATTATGGCAAACTCTTTGCAACCACACAATTGATTTCATATTTCATCCGATTACGAATAAGAAATTTCCTACTTAACTTTACTTTCATAGCAAACAGGTGGCCACTACTACGTAAACCAATAGAAATGGATTTTTAATGGGTAGTTTCAGGAGCAGAGCTCGTTGATATCAGTCTGTAAATGCGTATGGTTTAAGCTACACGTCGACGTTAACTGTAGTTTACTGTCCATCTAAGAATTAATCATTTAGTCCGCGAAGATGATCTGCAGAAATCTTCCTTACTGTTTGGCAGCAAACAGTCGGGGTCTTTACCAAGTAATTAACAATCTGCTTGGCATCGTAAATCTTACAATGCTCTTAATTCAAGTCATCATTTTACTCTGAAATAAGCCAATGTCAACAAAAATTTCGTTACAGAAACAGCTGAGTCTGAGCTAATAGAAGAAAAAGCATTTTTAAAGTTGAACCTGATAAAAAAATATGTTTTTCATGTCTAGTGTTCAAGTATATAATTTTGAAGAAATTTCAAGTTAGTGTTTACACTCAACAGTTCCAATCATTGCCTGATTTCTTGTTTCGTATTCTTAAACAATACAAACTACAAGAGCAAAACCAGGATACAAAAGAGGTCGAACACCATTTTCTGATTACTACCGTCTAAATTTAAACAAATACGCGATTAGCATTTTTCTGAGCACATCAAGTGAATAACTGAGCATTACTACTTTAAAGAGCATAACAATACAGAGTTTATACATTTCACGCGCGCAATTAAAGGCTTAATCATTCCAGTTATAGTGTTCTGCACGACATTTCTCTGAGAAATTCCAGTGAAATACGAGGGCGAAACATGGCATCAAAAACGATCACATTCCCCAAAGTATTGGGACTTTGAACAAAGTATAATACGTAACCCTACTGGCAAGAGCTTGGTTCTTTGACACCTGTTTAGGTTAAGGTAATGATCCAATATGCCATATATTTTTAGTAAGCATAAATGGATTAACTTAGGACTACATTAGTGTGTTTCAATTTTTTTGATTTAATTATTGATAATGTTAAAAAAGACCTTAGTATTTATAATTAAAGTGACTTCAGTGGCAACTAATCCCCTCATATTGTATAAATGTACTCCGTTCTAGATTGCCAGGCGTGGTTATGAAAGCACCATTGACCTAATAACTCTTTTGGAGACTGCATCTGACTGGTGATTGAGAAATCTTTAGTCAATTTTTACATGCGTACTGCGTGGGGCAGGTACTTTTAAACCAAGTTTTTGACGTAAGAAAATCTTTATCTAAGTTGGAAGCCAAGGGTATATTTACCTGATTTCACAGTCTCCATATTCTTGAGGTAAAATCGCACATAATTCACCCCCATAAAACTGCCTTGTAAAGCAAATTTAGAATCGATCTTTGTCGATGAAAACTAACTGGACCAATTTAATGGTTCAGGGGCTTGAAGTGGTCCATTATTTTATGTCAAAATGGTCTGATTAAAAAACTTAACTAACCTTAAGTTTGCATTTCATCACCCAGCTGTCAACCGGAAAGTTGTTAAGCATTGGAATGAGAAATTGTAAGCAGGCGTTCCAATGTCCAAGCAGGAGCATTAACAGAACGAGATTGAAAATTCCCATAAACTTGTTGGCGACATTTAGGAACTAAACACGAAAAATGTGAAGTTTGCCATTTTAGAGCTACTGCTTTGGATATAGCACGAAAGAAGTGTTAATGCACTCAATAAACTCCCGTAATATTCAAAAATGTTGTAAATAAAATTTATTGACGATTTCGTTTGTTTTTCAGTCGATTGGAAGGTGGAAAACATACTTAGTTATTATAAATAGATGAGGTACTACAGAAGGTAGTAAGACAATGACTTCAACTTAAAAATATCGTGAGAGGAATGGACATTTGTTTCAGGCCTACTTACACCGTGTTAGTTAAATTGCACATTGTACAGCAGGGAACAGTTCTTAAAAATAGCGACAAGTGTAAGCGACAGCATAGACCTCAAAGCTTTCCATGAGTTCGCACATTGTAAGATGTCGGGTCCTGGTGAAAAAAAACATTCTGGCTAATCTAATGAATTTGATTTAAATGAGTATTTAGCACGCGTACAATCCACGTCCTTGTGACGTCTACAAAACATTAAGTTAACCATAATGAACTCATTTGTTAGCTTAATCTTTGTTATTGTGGGGCTGCATTCTCATCTGGTAGCCTCAAATCCAATGACGAATTGTCGACAATCGAATTTCTACTAGCTACCCTGTTAAGAACATGATAAAATTTGTCTTACATTTGTAGCAAAGACTAATTTAGAGTTCTTCCAAGCTAGATTTCCTGTACTATCTATATTGGAATGACATCTAAGGGGTGTCAGGTAATTTTCCTTGTTTATCGTTTATTTTCTAGCAAGCCAAAATAAAATGGTTATTTCTTCATTCCAAAACTATGTATGTGTGCAAATAACCCTTGTTAGCGGAAGGAAAGAAGCAAATTGACACGAATTAACACCACCTGTTTATCATCTGTAGCAGGATGTTTTTCCAAGATCTGAGAAAATAAGACACCGTGAATTTCAGCAACCATGTTTGACGCCATCTGCACATGTAGCGGGTCGTTCAACTAAAGTCATCTCTTTTCTTTGACAAAATACATGTCTCCGTTTTTTGCATTGTGTACACAAAGACAGGCAATGTTAAAGTTAGTAATTGCATTAACGTAGGGAAATTGAGGATCTTGGATCAGACACAAGGACACGATGCAGAGACCTACATATCCCGAAACCTTCAAACTGAATATTGTAAGATGTGTACGCACTCACGCGGGACTATTAGCCTCTTTGAGAAACAGAGTGCCGAAAATACCAATTGTATTTGTGCGTTGTGACGAGAGTAAACAGCCTCAGAGAAATTGGTGGATAAGTGTTGTGCTCAGTAACAGCCGCGACTCACTTGACCAACCGCACGTCTTAAGCACAGCCAGACCCATTTATTGAAAACGATACAGTGAGCACTCTGAATTTACCTCTTCCCATTGACTAACGTAGCGCACGAGACGGGTAATTCTCAAAAGGCGCAGAAGACTGAGCAATTTGACGAGTCGTAAAATCCGAAGAGCTCGGCCTATAAAAGACGAGAGATGTTCACACCATGAGCACCGCGATTATGACTTTCTCCCTGATGCGAACAAACTGAGCAAGTGCACTTCTTACAAATGGCAGAAGCAAAGGGACGCATACTGAATGAAGAATATAAGAAAATGCATTTGCAAATCTTTCCACTTCAAAATTGTCCTGCGTATTGAAACTGTGCGCTATAACATTACCGAGAGGAATACATTTCGGTTTCGCGCTATCCCATTTTGTGATTAATTTGGTTCAGGGTTTCAACTATTAAGGAAATTAAAGACAAATTAGTTTCATTCATGGCTATCACTAAAACATCAAAGAGTGGCCGAAGTAAACCCATGTTTTACGGTCAACTTCAAGGCCTGATCAAATCTACACGATTGTTAATTTTAGTTGAAAGGTGAGCAAAGATGGCAACTAAAATGCTCCAGCGGTATTAAGAAGGTAGTTTGCATTACATTTTTCCCCGAATAAGGACTGCTGTGAGATGTTTGTAATTTTAAATTGGTTGCAAGAAACTACTGTAGCCTGACTAACTTTTTAAACTCAAAATAGCAACATGAAATGAGTACATTTAATAAGGGGACTATTTATTGTGAAACGCCTTTTTGTAAATGAGAAACAAAAAGAGTTTTTCTCAAGAACTGAAGCTTTGCTAAACAAGCAAAATGTAATTTCGTATTTCAATTTGACAATCATTTTACAATGCCCCTCAACTACAATCTCAATCATTCATTGGACGGCCATCTCGACCTGGAACACGGGTAACATTTGATAAAGGATTCAAACAAGTAATTATAATGTCAGTTAAATGTGTGGGTGTCGTCATGTTTCTAAAAATGGAAAATAATGGCGCTTACAGCCATTATCACTAGAGAATCTGGCCTTTGTGATCAAGTTTTAAGTTATGTTTCAACAACATTAAGCTATCCATGCCATAAGGTGCAGTATTTGCAGGATTAAGTCCAATTAACGATGACTCCGAGCGAAAATTCTGAGCGATAAATGACTGATGCCAATCACTCAAATTTGTAGACAGCCAAGTAGTAAAGCAATTTACAAAAGCGGGAACTTAAAGCAATGCTATTGATTTGCATATAAATAAAAGTATCGCGTTTCAGAGGTGCACAAGTGCTGTACATAAAAAAAGGCCAAGCTGAAATGCAGTTTAAATAATAACTTTTGCAGTTATTTCAGTGAAGGCACACCTGAGCTCAGTAGTTTGGAATAGATCTCTTGCTTCGTTCTTATCTGCTAAACCAAGGGAATGGACCTGCTTAAATTATGATTAAGTAAAACATAGCTTAACTTTTGTTATCCAGAGCAGTACCAGCCTACCAAAATAAGTAAAACAGCCATCTTTTGAAGAACAACACAACGATCCATTTGCGTTCCTCTGGACTTCGGGCAGTGTTTCCTACTAAATTGACAAGTGATTGATGTTTGGCTTATCATCCTGTCATAACACTTGTGCTGCTTGTCTGAAAATATTTGGTGATTAGAGCCACTTACGAACAAATCGAGTGGCATTATGAAATGTGTTTGCTGGCAAGTGAAAGACATCAACAATTTGATGGCTTTCTTGCCTCACTTATGGGAAAGAACAAAATGGAAGGAGGCGATGTTTGAACAAACAAATGTACAGGTGTGAGGGAAATATGCACTTTCTGGTGTGATACTCTCTGAATAAGTGTATGCAGCCCTACCTCTGGTATAATAGTCAGCTCGCATAATACCTAAATAGCAGATGTCTGCCCAGATGATTTACGCATGACTATTTATAGACCTCGTCATTTTTAGTACTGCAAACAAATAGGTAATCACGAGGTCGCATTTCAATTTTTTTACTTGCCATGGCGTCAGTTAACAGGAAACTTTCATGTTTCAATAAGAGGCAGAAGTAAATGCAGGTAAAAATTAACTAGTTCCTGCTGTCCACTTATCTCTTGATTTTGAGCAGGTCGGACAATAAGGTGTGTCATCTTCTGAGAGAAAGGAAATCAATATAACCATTAATTATATCAGCGTAGAACATGTTCGATTAATTGAGAAGGGTAGCTTTCCTTTCACAGCCACATCCAGAAATATTTGGCGGTATCCCTTACGAACATGGGAGGAAGCACTTTTGATAGTTTGGCGTTTGTTTATTAAAAACAAATCAACCATACATTATTGACGTACCTGCACTAACAAGGTGAGAACGGGTTTTCGCCTCCTCACTGAAAATTAAGGAAATATAATCAAGTGGAATAGAGCTGAGGAAATCCAACGCAAACCAAGTTTTCAGATAATGACGTGCAATTTTCTTTGGGTTTAGTATGATCTCGTCCTCAAATTTGTTCGTCATAATACCTAGAAAATGAAATTTGTAAAAGGAAACTTATTAAAATCGATGCTGGAACAAAATTTCATTACCGTAAACTATTAGTAGAGATTGAAATTGGGCAAATACAGGAAGCACCTAATTGCTGAACTCAACAAGTGTTTCGTTTGGGCTAAAATCACCTCTTCAAAAGTGATTTTCCGTGCGCCCATATTGGATTTAGGCCTTTGTTGTTCTATGGACGCAAATGACTGGCAAGCAAAAGTTCTTGTATTAAAATTAATGAGCCACTGATGACTAAACACTCAACATACGGATATTTGTAGTCTTGGTGTTAGATCTTCTGCGTCACAAGTCAAAACCATGCAATCATTTGAATTGTTAAAAGTGTAGCCAATCAAATTTTCTGTGATACGGAAAAATTTGCTCCCGAAGATTACTAGTAGTGGTTTGATATAATTCACTAGCATTCAAGAGTATCGTAAGTTAAGGCTTTTTCATTAATTCTTTGCCCCCTAGTGGGAATTTCCTTCAAGCTGGAGGTTAACGCATTGAGTGAACAAAATCAGACATTTCGAACTCCAATCAGAGAACTTTGTCCCTCAAACGTTATTAAATATTAGTACTTTCATGAATGACTAGGAACTGCGACAGAGGAATTGCATTTATGAGTGAAGTCTGCACTAACTACCCATGCTCAATAAAGCCTGATTAAAAATGCGACAGCATTATGAAATGATGAAGATCGACAATTGTGTATTAATGCACTTTGAACTCATGCTGCTTCCTTAAGAGGTAGATCACGACTAGCATTTAATTTCGTGCCAGCGCATTCCATTTAGCCACGCAACAAAACGTTTTTGGTCCAAAAATGGTGGAAAAGACAAAGAATCTCCATTGATTCCGTAATTCAGAACTAAACCTATGTCTGTTTTGCTGGTGTCTAGCCCAATCTAAGTGTTCGAACGGTGGCATCGTTTTGGAATATTTTTACGGTGTTGAGTTTTTGATGATTGAGACATCCATCCACCACAACTCGATACATTTTGGAGGTCAAAATTTAATGAAATAAGTGCCTAAGACTGTGTTTACACAGTTTCTTGAGTACCACTTTCTTGAACTAACTTAATTAGCACGAAATAAACAAATTTTGCATTCTATACTGCTCCTGTACCCAAGATACTACGAAGCTACTTGCTTTATTTGTTTGTACGATGGTCCTACAAAAATTAAATCTTTTCAGGATTACAAAAGTCTTTACCAACCTGTTCGGAAGTTTACCAAAATATCCAGGAGAAAAATAGTGTCTGATACACAGTTAAAGCATATCGCCTGAATTCCCAGATCTTCGAGGAAAAAAGAGATGAAAACTGGGAGGATAATTAAGTTGGCTATAAGCAGGAGGAGCATCAGCAAGTCCCAGTAATACCTAAAACACGAAGTATGAAATGACAACCCAATGGAAAGAAATTCAGTAGTAATTTTGTTTTACTTCGTAAGATGTGTGAGAACTCAAACGAAGATCAGCAGTTCACCGTCATGCTGAGAAAAGTTGCAGGTTTTTCGACAATAAGAAATCCACATGTAACAAAATCGACCAGACCATTTGACCTTATGTAGTACGTTTCCATAACTTATTCATGTTTTATTTCAAGCTAAAAGTGCTCCGAACCTCAACTATCAATTTTAATTAATTCTTTTTTATATATAAATAAAACAAACGTCTAATTTTAGATGCTTTTGGATGAGATACAAAACCGTCATTGCCAAAATAAGCCACATTCACGTCCATTCACTTGATGATTAGACCACGCAGACAAAACAATTACGTGAGCCTAGGTTATAGATCTAACATTGTGACCAAAAGCATATATGAAATTTCTGCACAACACTTTTCAGCATTTCTATGCAAATTTTTTAATAAATTTGGCATAAATTCGTACAGGAAGTTCCAGTTCAAATAAATTACAAAATATTCTCCATAAAATAAATTTAAAGGGATGTTATGAGTAGGACAAAAAGTGGCAATAATTAATAAACAGGGGTTTTAATTTATAGTGGAGTCATTCTGTCTTGGAGTCTCCATGACCGTTTTAAAATTATTCTCAAAAAAAAACATTTTCTTAAATTAAACGCAGAGCTGTTTTTTTATCGGGCCAAGTATATAAAAATATCACGAAGGTAATGTACTTTTACTATTATTAAAACTCATTTAAATTTCTAACTTGTTTTTATCACCTTGCCATAAAATGAATGGTCATTGATACAGAAAGGTAAAATTACAACCAGAAACAATAGTGTGCACACTAATCAATAAGGAATTAGGATAAGCAACATCATGTTCTGTTAGAATAAAGTGACATTGCCAAACTGCTAACCAAAAAAGTATTTTGCAGACAGAGATTCGAACTGTGGCTCTGAAATTAATTAAAAGTAGTTCTGAACATTAGTAATTCGGCTGTTACAATAAAAATACCGTTGGAGTAAGAAGAAGAAGTAGAAGTAAGTTTATCATAAATAAGGCTTTATGTAAAAGCGTCAGAAGTCTGTACACTGATTACTTAGAAAACTTATTCAAAACAGAAACCAATTGACTCTCCAACGCCATTCGTTACTTTTTGTAGGTCAATGATTTATGACGTGCTGCATTTAGTGCACAATTTCTTGTGTTACGCTCAGTGTTTTGTAGCTATGTGAACGCAGATGTGTTAGCGTCAGTTGTGGCAGCTGTGCACAGCTGAATGTATCTACCAAATTCGTCACCTATCAGCAACGTTCCTGCCAGAAACATCTAACAAATGCAAAGCTGTAGAATTTGAGGCTGCGTCATTTATCACCATATTTGCCTCAAGCTAACCATAAATTCTGTGCAGAACACATATATAATTATTTGGAAGGGAGTGTGCATTACTTTGTATGCTGTAAGTAGTATAATCACCTCAATCAATTTTCATCAGTTTTCCAATGAAGGCTGTTTTGTGCAAAAGATGTTCAACCAGAATCCTATAAGATGAGGTCATTGAAAGCAAATTTCCGTGGATTTTCTGACCGAAACGCCATTTATTAATACCCCTTCTGTCTAATTACAGGTTTGTAGTAAAACTAAGAAACAACAGCTTAATTTCACCCGCCTACTATGCAATTTGAAAACCAGTAAGATGCCCAAGTTTTTGTATGGGAATACAAGAGTTTGATTTTTGTATTTTATGATTCACCCAGAATAAATTTGGTAATTTGCATTCCTTATGAGGTCTTATTAAAATCAGTAGCTAATTAGGGTGTTTGAGACTGACGTCAAACTGTACAAATATTAGACAGTAAGTGGCCAGAATACTCGCTGAACAAATTCTGTACAACTATGCAGTCTTTGGAGATATGCAGACGTTGTTGGGAAAGTCCAATTTTTCATTGACTTTCCTATCTGAATTGATACAGCATTTGAGTGTCAATGTGTCCGACCAGGTCGTTTATCAATGATCTTGATGCCAACTAGTTCCAACGCACCCACCCCGATTCTGGGTGATGGTATCACATTGTGCTATTTATATCTCCAACCATTTAGAACCTGACTCTTATTCAGAAACAGTTACTCAATTTTTATTATAAAATAGAAATTATGTGCCAAGAAAATGCCAGATTTGGTCTGTTAATTTACAATTATTAGCAAGTTGTGAGGGACGTTACGTACTAAAATGCACCCATCTTAGGAGGCCATATTGGATGGAATGCAAGATATGTTTAGTTAACTACACACTTTCGACGGTCAAACAATTATCCTACTCTAAACTTTGATGCACACGTTAAGATTGAATGTGTGTTGAAAATCTTAGGAGGTTTCCGTAATCAAAATGATGCCTATCTACATGGAGCCCTTTAGTGTATCTAGAGAAAAGTGAATTCTAAAAATAGTACCAAAATACTTCGAAATGAACTATATCAAACAAGAACCAACTGTTAGTGGAAACCGCTTTATCCCAAAGAATGGCAACAAACCAGTTGAAGACTTAGGGATATAGTGGCTCATTTTGACAAGACGTTTTTCGCAGTAATTTATTCCAGCCAATGAATTGCGACTTTAGGATGTCCAAATAGTATGCCAAAATTTAAATCAAACATGGTGTTGAAGTGTAAAAGTTAGAAGGGTGCGACTGAGATTCTAAACGCGGAACTCGACATCAAAGTTATGCTACAAATATGTGGACAATGATAAATTATACGGGAACAGGTCAGTCAGTAAAGATGTTCCGAATACTATTAGACAAAAGGTGTACCTGAAGTTGCTTGCTGGATGGATAATCCATTTACCTTGCTTCCGCTGCCTTGAGCGTTCCCTGTTCAGTGCTACTTTTGTCCCAAAAAGTTTCTTTGCAAGTTTATTATCCGAGGGTTGAAAGAACAACAAAAATTGCTCCTTCCAGTACTCTTTGGAACGTTGCTTTGCAGAATCATCCTGGCATCCCCAATTTTCTCCCTTCAGATCTTCATTCGGCTCTTTATTTTGATCCTCCTCATTCAGAATACGTGGAATGTTGAAACTAGACTTAATTTCGTGCTCAAAGTCTTCCATAGTCTGGAGTTGCACATCCTTTTTCACTTTTATTGGCTTAGCTTGAAGTTCGACAGACTTAGATATTTCATGCTGCTGCGAAGGGGATGTATTCAAGTTAATATGCTCCTCAGATCTCCTCTGCTTATCCTTGGTAATACTGGTGTCAGACGCAACCACCTCATCGCTTCTACAGAGTGAGCAGGCTAATTCTGCCGCAGGTAATGAGTGCAAACTTCCTGGTTCCGAAGCATGAAATTTTTTTTTCCTTAAAATTCTATTCCAACTATCAAACTGAAAGAAGGCATGGTCCTGAGTTAAATTCTGGCCAGATGAAGATAGTTTCGAATTTTTAATTAGTGAGCTCTTCTCCGTTTCACTTGAGGGAATTTTGGTATTCTTTTTAGAGGAGGGAACAGCAGATTCGATTGGAATGCGGACTATCGCGTTGGTAACTGACAAGGTTTTTCGTAGACCATAATTGAGCCCACGTTTACAAAAAGACCTGGGCTTCTGCAACGCCGCAGGTAGCTGAAATCTCAATCCTGCCGACTGCTTCGCATACATCGACCCAGACTTCTGGCGATGGCGCGCCTTATTTGTGCCATCACCGACTTCATTGCTGGTCGTAATGCTGGAGAAAATGGTTTGAGTATGTTGTGAAGCCATAGTTGGTAGTCCTGTAAATGAGCCTGTTAGGTGTTTGGTCAATTTCAAAATCTTTTGTTCTGAGAATTTAGTGTCAGGATAGAGCCAACTCGGACGAGGAATGTCCTCACTTCTCATGACACGTGGCGTTCCGCCAGTCACCCGGTTTTGGTAAGAATTTCTGCAGGAATTAGCACTAGGTCTTGACCAAACGTAGTCTTTGAGAGGATTCTGATAAAATAATGCCAAGCAACATTCACATCCACTGTCTAAACCCGAAAGCGCAACGCTCTGTGAGCGTCTGTAGCGTTGCGAATCCACGTGCCAATTAGCAGATTTCGTCGTTTCAGTAAGCTTGTCTCGGGGAAAAAATGGATCGGGTTTGTGGCAATTTGGACAGACCAAAATGGGCGCGTCAAGAAGAGCCTTGCCAGGGAAGTTGGCATCTGCAACCTGCATCGCTGCAAGAGTTGCTTCTGTAAGTTGTTCACTCAGACGACGCATTACCGACCAGTGCTTGAAACTGTCCGAACTGGTTATTGCTGAATGAAGCTTGTCTTCTTCATTACCAGGCCTGATCGATGACATGGTTTCTCAGTAGAAAGCACTGAACCAGCACAGTGACCAACGTCACTGGGGATCATTTATCCTGAACGTCATGCTTCTAGTAATTAGCAGCACGCTCTCCTTGCGCGTTGATTGGCAAACCTGACAGGAAATTTATTGGCTGCTAAAAGCAGCTGATGTCATAAACAACTTGTGTTGTTGTATTATTGGTCAGAATTTGACCGACCAGGCACGAAAGGAATTTGCAATTAATGGTTTATTTGTGAATAAAAAAAACTAAGCAATGCATGACATCACATTTTTACGCTTTATTGGATTCAGGTTGTAACAAAGTCGACGCAGTAATGCACCAATTCTAAAAATTATTGCCAAATCCCCACTTCACGATCTTAACGAAAATACACTAAAGTATTTTTTTGACCGTCATTGTTTAAGTCTTGGTCTAAAAAGGCATAGATTGGGCTTCAAATTGCCAAACCCCTAGTACCCATGCATAACCTTTTGGCGTGCCAGTTAACTACGAATATCCTTGCTTTCAAAGACGTATATAGCGTTTCATCCCGACATGTGGTTAGGCCTCCTTGACGGAAACAATTTCATATTTTATGTGGACTGCTTTTAATAAAGAAAACAGATTCAATTAATGTGGAAATTTTGTGAGACTCTTCGAAATAAAGCCTAGTGTTGTTTTGGCACAGGTTATGCGAACGCTCAATTATTACGGTCGCACTGTGCTATCAGTTTGGGTCAATCAAATCCCCAAAGCAGAAAAAATGAAATTTTTTGGATGGATAAACGCAGTTTTATCAGTTTCAGCCCGCTAAAGTATTTGGTCGATTCAATAATTTAAACAACTTTTTATCTGTTAGAAACCTAGTGGGTGACTCTTTGACTTCCGACACGGCTATTAGATTTTTGTGCCAAAAGTTATGTAATTGTGGCTGCCTTATTTTTTTAAAACAAAAAAAATTATAGACCTAAGTTTGTTGGTTTGAAACGAATCTTACAAAAGTAAAAATATTTCGTTGATTAAGTGTAATTAATTATCTTAAGTCACAGCCGTTGGGAACAACTGATGAATCAAATGACTTCTCTGAGCTAAATTAAATCATGTTAAAACTTTATTGGACTTATTACTAGTGTACACAAACTGAGAGTCAATTCAATAGCAAAAAGAGCCACGAGGGCTCTAGTTTTTACTCACAAACATCTACTGCCTGTTAAAACAATTCCTGAACTCTAGTGAACAAATGCCAAAAACCGTTCTATCAGTTTTACCAAAACCTCGTTTATGGTAAAGTTGGCATGAACTATGGGTTAGACGGATTATGGAGTAAGTCAACAGCTCTTTCATGTAGCCTCCGGAAATTTAAACATGGGATTCAACGGAGTGAGCTTAGTGACAAAGCACGAAAAATAAAAAGAGAAAATGTCGAGCCTCATTTTCTACTTTCGTGGGTTTGGTCTCGATTCCACAGGATCATTTCATAGAACAGAGTGATCATTTTTAGGCCTCCACTGTCAAATTCACATATAGACTCTTCTCAAACCAATTCAAACAGTCTTTTTGCGAGGCATAACTCCAGTCTTCACCTTGTTTTCCTAAAGGGTTAATGGCCTTTTTACGTTCTTTGACCTTCGATGTAAAGCATTATGCCTCAATTACACTATAAGTTCTTTTTTCTTGACCTAGGGAACCATAAATTTTTAACTCCCAATACTCACAGCTGGCAAATATTGGGGGGATAGTACACACGTCTACGTCATGGAGTTACCCCATTTAGAGATAGCGTCTAAGGGATTTTTCCCAGGTTTCGCAGGTGACCACCGTAACAAGCAGTGGGGTCAGCATTGATTTATAAATGTTGAAAAAGGAAACTTGTCTAAAACATGACGTTTATTTATCTCGACTTCTTGAGATCAGATAATGTTTTGAGCAGGCTAAAAAGAAAAAAAATTGTATGATAAAATTAAGGAAATAAAATCGAATGAGTCCTGAAATAATAATGTGAATAAAGTGTGGCAAACCAATTAAAAGGGCGCATAATATTTTTATTTTTTACCAGACACTTTAATGATCTGGTTCAATGGTATGGGAACTGGTTTGTAATCGCTGTATGTTTATCCCATAGCAATATGGTAACCAGATATCAAATATTTTCGAAAATCTTAAAGGAAAAGTTTGCTTGTTAAATTACGACGGAAATATACGAGTCGTCGTTACGTGCTTGCAACATTGAAAATGCTTTTTGACTGCTTATTTTGTTGTTTTTTTTGTGTTTAACTGTCGAATTCGTGTTAAGTTTGTTCCAAAACTGGCAAATTTTGCCAGTTTTGTCCACCACATTCATTACCAGTTATTTTTGACTGTTGGTGCCCCTTGACCATGTACCTTGTTAATCGTCAGGTGCCTTGTCATTTCTAACTATTGACGTTGTAGCTAAAACACTGCCTAAATTAAACAGTGCCTTTAAAAGGTTTTTACACTCTTTATGAAACTTGCAATAAATTAACAGCAAAATAGTTTAAACAAAGGAAGCAAAACTTCCAGCTATATGGCGCTGTTAGCCTCCTTCTCAAACGCCATATAATATGGTGAGGTAAACTCGCAGTTGACCTGACTTAATCCGTTGTCATCCATTCGGTCAAGGTCATCCTTGACCTATATAAGTGTTCATTTTCTGACAGATCACTCGGCCTTTAACTGAGACGATTAAAGCTCCCCACACGAGCTCCCGTCTTGTCCTGCATTAGCGTGAGAAGATTGGTTCTAGTGTCAGTCAAGGATCTGGTACCGTTTGTCTGAGTGGATTGGTCTTGGTTACGGGCAAACGCAACAACTGACTACCCAAAATCAAAAAAGGTTACCCAGTATAAAAATATCCGGCATAACGTAAACACTTGCAACTCGCAAATTTTACCCTAAAATTTTGCTGTCGTGCGCCTAACCAAAAAGTCTTAATCTACTAGTACATTTGTAGACTAGTACTCCAATCGGTATACATTATCGGTATGAAACTTAATCTAAACAAGTCATTTGCTAATTGACAGTTAGCATCGAACCTTTTTTGTTATTTTACGTTAGCCAGTTGGTCCTTAAAGGTAAACAGCCTATTTGGACTCAGAGATCCCTGAATTTAAAACTTAAGCCTTAACACTTGCCTAGACAATAAATTTAAAAAAAGTTTAAGAATTAACTTGAATGATAAAATTGGAGAAGCACTAGGACTAACAGCGATCGCGCCTGAGTGAACCCTGTTTACTGACCTGACGGTGACAATGACTCATCTCCTTTCCATTGGTTACTGGTATCAGACGCCTGTCATCCGCTCACTCATTCACACACCTGGCTGCCGTGACGCTAATAAGCGATCGTGTCCTCTACCGCCTCCCTTCACTCCATTCTCTGCTTGTTATGGCCTGTTAGCTTGAGCGTTGTAAGGTAGTGCTAAAACTCAAGCGACTACAAGCCAAACTAAACAGGGTCTAAACTAGAATCGAAGTAATTTAAGCAAGTTCACGAGGTTCTTTTTTTCCATAATTCTAATTTTTACTTCTGAAATGTTCTCTCTTTTACTCCAAATCGGTCGTGTAAAAATTGACGAACCAGAACCACATAGTGTGCTGGCAAGTGCACAGAGATGATGTGATTCAGCGAGTACCAATCAGTAAATGGGCAACGAAAGACACTTAGCACTTTGTGCATTCATGAGCGTTTACAAAATCGACGTGTTCCGTAAAATGAATATTCGTCGAAGGCATTTCATTCTCACTCTTACAAAGTTTGTAAAGCCAGCTTATTTTAAACCATTCCTTTTTAAGGGCATCTTTCTTCCTAGAATTCCGTAATCTTCCAATCGTATAGAAACTTTACGAAATTTTATTTGGAGCCAAGAGAATCGAAATTCTGCAGCTTTAGAAACTTTGATTTTAACTAAATGTCGAATGTTTGCTTGGACATCGGTTCCTACAGTAGGGGCGTCGCAAGTAAACAGCTCTTTTCAACTGTGCCAACGGATCGTATTCGACTCACTGGACTGAAAGTAAGGACAGTTCAGGCCTCTTGCAGCGACCAACACCCGACAGCCTCTCGAGCACTTTCACGTTTTGCTTGTTGGTATAATTTGCGTCTGTGCAATTTTGCAGGTATCGACCAAATTGCCTTTGCCTAATAATGGGTTGTCTACTAAAAATAACTAATTTTTTTAATGAACATGTTAGACAACTATAAACCATAAAGTTAAATGTAGTCAACAAAAGTAGACTAGTGTAATAAGATGCTTCAACATTATTTCATTAGTTTAACCATTTGAAAAAATCAAATTAAATCAAATTTTTGTGTAAAATAACAAAAATTCTACAATTTTGCCTCCTCGATAATCAGATCCAATGCGTTTAGAAGCATCCAAGCTTTTTTTCAGGATGTATTAAAATACAAATAAGGCTTTGTATTATCAATTTCTCCCAAGAACTTAGAATGAAGATCTGGCTGCTCATGGCACTTCGCAGGTGTATTGACCTGACATAATCGAATGTTCCTGATTTCGACTACAGAAATTCTGTCAACAACTCCCATAGTGTCTTTCGTTCCGGGAATTGAATTTATGCAGATGCCTTGTATCACGAACGCGTCCTTTTTAGCTCCACGATAAACTGTTGATTCCAGCACTGGCTATGGCCTTCTCTCTGTTCCTTGGTTGTTCCCCGGCAGCCCCGATGTGGTCTAAGAACCATATCGTGGGTTCTAAAAGTTGTTCTTAATTAGACCTTTAAACAATTGGCATTTTATGGCAAAATAATTTAGCACTGCATTGACAGATACACTCACACAGTGAAAACTACATTTTGGCATTCATTTACATCGACCAATTTTGCGTCTTTGATTCAGGAACTGGTAAATTAAGCAGTCAATTTTTTCCAACCGTAAATACTCTCTACGTGAAAGCAAATAGTAGCAAGTTCTGCTTGCACTTGTATAGGACACCGTAATGGAAATTATGGTCCTATTCTACTGATCTTGC